TGTCCAACTGATGAGTTGGTTCGACTGCTCGATCCACGCTTTCTTCGCCATGTGATGCACATGCCCGGCGATCAGTTGCCTCACCGTAGGTTTCACGAAGTAGGTCCTGAACCAAGAATACAAGGTGAACATGAGCTGGAGACGGAGGACGAGGAACACAATAAAAGACCTGGCTGGTCTAGGGTATGTCGTTAGTGGGGTTTGGGTATCGAGGACCCATCACATCCGGCATAGCGATTAGCACAATCGATAGTGGTGTGTCCGTTCTTGATCTGTCTGTCTGTTCTTGATCAATAATCCGCCTTCGTTTTCATTTAAAAATTTTTTCTGTCCCCCCTACTCTACACTACCACCTGCCGTCATCATCGCCATCGTCATTAGAGACGGCAATGTCAATTTTTCCTAACGATGATTCATTGCCGTACAAAGTTTATTTACCTGAAGTGGGAAGAAGAGCGAGTGGGGCAATGACCTCGTGCCGAACTGTCGCAAGCGTTCCGAAATCCCTACCCCTCCGAGCACTTGGTCAGGCAATCTGGAAGCAAACTGACAGCCACAGAAATGGATTGACTACCGTTTCTAAGTGTCTCCAGGCATGCGCAAGGGGGATCAGGATGACCACACTCTGGAAGTTGGATCACTCCGAGAACGCCTGTTCTCTCCGTAATCTCTTCCACATCCTTCTGTTCAGCCATACTTTGCCCACCTCGCAGTTTGCGCCACTTTGAAAAGGGCACGGAGAACAATACTCGTCTGGCTAGACGATGTTTCAGTATCCTTAGCACGTGGCCGAAACACTTAAGTTGATGTTGCTGGATACTTTTTGTGACATAATTATCTGCTACACAATCAAATACCCTTCTTCCAATTGCCTTGTTACGAACCTGTTGCGCCATCTGACAGCATAAACGCTTCGGAGATGTCGATGCTCTAAAACATGGTGACGCTTTACATAATCTGTCCGAAGGGGCCATGTCCCCCAACCACACAACAATGGAGCTCTTACTGTAACCTGGTACACGCAACCCTTGAGACTTATTGATGTACATTTTTGACGTCGCAGGTGACACAAATTAACAAGCGTGATTCTGGCCTTTGAGATTCGGATAGGGACATTTTCATCAGAACTAACACAACTACCGAGGAATATGAAATTCTCCACAACCTTCAGTGATTTTCCTTGAATTATAAGGGTGTGTTCACACGTGGCCGAAACACTTAAGTTGATGTTGCTGGATACTTTTTGTGACATAATTATCTGCTACACAATCAAATACCCTTCTTCCAATTGCCTTGTTACGAACCTGTTGCGCCATCTGACAGCATAAACGCTTCGGAGATGTCGATGCTCTAAAACATGGTGACGCTTTACATAATCTGTCCGAAGGGGCCATGTCCCCCAACCACACAACAATGGAGCTCTTACTGTAACCTGGTACACGCAACCCTTGAGACTTATTGATGTACATTTTTGACGTCGCAGGTGACACAAATTAACAAGCGTGATTCTGGCCTTTGAGATTCGGATAGGGACATTTTCATCAGAACTAACACAACTACCGAGGAATATGAAATTCTCCACAACCTTCAGTGATTTTCCTTGAATTATAAGGGGTGTGTTCAGTGGCTTTACATCCTGAGGGAAGACTTCACACTGAAGGTGCAAGGTGCATGACGAATGATGGTATGATGGTGGTCAGTCTATTCAACACAGCGTGTGCTTGGCGTTTGTGTTCGGAGATTAAGACGATGTCGACAAGATTCTCACTAGTAACGGCTTGAGCACATTGGTTTTGAGACTTTTCAGCGTTCTCATTATTTCATTGCTGATGAAAGTGAACGCTGTTTTTACCCGGTCGGAGTCCCTCTTGATGTTCACGGGTTAAGGTTTTGCGTGCAACGTAAGATGACGAACAATCAGTGACACCGTAATCCTTGTTACAATAGGAGTCGAATTGACGCCCTTGTTGTTACTACACCAACAGCGGGTGCCTTTTTCAAGATCAGCACCATTATTGACACCCCTATTGTCCAGGGCAATTTCTTTCTCCCAGATAGACGCAAATGGGTTGGGCATGCGCTGGCTGGGGACTTAATTACCATCTTTGAGTAGAGCAGGGCGAGATGGCTCAGTGGTTAGAGCGCGAATTCACTGACCGGAAGGTTCATGGTTCGAACTTGATCTCTGCATCTCGACTTCTGTCTAGGCTTGGCAACCTGACAGTATCCCAGCCGTCGCGCTTCCCTCGGGTAGCATGGGAGCTAGGCACCGAAAGGGTGTTGCAGCCGAATGACTGAAGAGCAAGTGGAAGCTCGTGCTAACCAGGAGCACGACACCGCTTGATTGGAAATACTCTCGGACACTTCTGAGGCTGAAGGGGGTTCCGTTTTCAGAATCCGCTTTTCTGATTGGGGGTAGGAAGTGGCCACCCGGATGTTTATTCCAAGTTCTGTGCCCAAAGGTTCCAACACCCTCCTCTGATGGAAATCAGAGAGCTATCCTGGATCCTGGGAATTTCCCTAACAACAGGTCTCCGAGGACCATTCGACTGAACCAAATGAGACCGCTTGCGGATGTTTCCAGCATTTCTTGCCTCTTCTATTTCTTCGGACTTTCGGACCGACCAAGCTTCCCGTCTACACGGACACAGTTTCACCTGGCATCGGAAGATGCTTCGGGTTCAGTTTTGGTCGTGGCCAATGGGAATCTGTCGCCGGGCCTCCAGAAAAGCCATGTTCTTATCAGAGATCCAATGTTTCGAATGAGGTTGGCTGGGCTGTACCGCAATCGGTGGCACCGGTTTCGAGTGCTACTTTGGGTATCTTTTCCCATTGGCCGTTAATATCTGACGTCGCACCATCCACCACGCTTTCGATTATCCAGTTCCAATGGGTCCGTTTGATTTCCGGATCCACTACCTCAGTGACCAAGTGAGGAGATCGCATGTTGCTCAGATCTGAAAAACGCAATGAAAAGAAGACCGGAGTCAATACAGATGGTTCAAAAGGAGCGGCAGGCAGTGATCGACTTTCACCACCAGTAACTGATTGCGATGCTGTCCCTATGGGTTCCGGCCCTGTTCTTCGGATGGCAGTACGTTATCAAACGATTTCCGCTGTTCCAGGAATTGGTACTGCAAGGAACAGTCTGTGGTCGGTACATATCTGAAGCAGGCACTCTGCTTTGTCTGAGCGTCTCGTATGCAGTCCAAATGGTGAGATGGCGCATCATTGGTTAGAGCGCCAATTCACTGACCGCAACGTCCGTGGTTCGGACCCGACCTTTGTATCTCGACTTCCCCTGTCCAGACTGGCAGTATCCTAGCTCTCTGACTTCCTTCGAATGGCGTGGCAGTTAGTCACCGAAAGTTACAGCTGAACGGTTTTTAAACAGTCCAAGATGGTCGATCTTTTTGGCCTCACCGACGCTTAGTCTTCCTACCTGAGACTTTGTGTCACTAGCAGTCACAACGATATCTGAGCTTTGAACCCGTTGTGAAAGAGCACCTTGAGCGTCGAGGTCCTTTCACACGTTGCCAAACGAACTATATAGAGACGACTATCAACTGGTGTCCAGTCAAGTGGGGTGGTTCCGCTTGGTCGCTGAATACGATATCCACCCCGGCATATTCAGCTGCAGCAGCCCCTTCATCACCCGAGGTGCTCACACGGAATCTGAAAGAAAACAAGGGGCAGTCAGTTTGCTTACAGTAATTGCGTCCTGTATACTCGTTTCTGACAGCATACATCAATGCAGAGGGACTCCAGCATACGAGCAACAGCCGCTTGTTGCGAACATTCAAGGCAACTAGGTAGGCCGGCTTTCGGGGTCTGAAAATAGACTGAATTACTTGGGATTGTTACTGAAGTCAGACACAGAAGTTGCTACTGATTCCAATGCATGGCGAACAAAGCAATCAGTCCTAGATCTGGGACGTGCGGAGATGTTATTCAGATTGGGGTGGGTAGGGCAGAGCAGGGAATACGTGAATGTGAGAAGAAAATGGAAGAACTGAACTGAACTTCCTCCACTCTGCCCTTCCATCTGTTTATCATACTCAGCTTGGAGACCCGCGTTTCCAGGTTCTTGATTGTTTTCGTGCAGAAAAGGTGCATGTCGCGTTGTTCGGTCGACTGGGTAGAGTCGTGCAACAAAGGAGTGTATGCCCCCTTTCGTTTTTACCGTTATTGCGGGTACTCTGCTGTCACTTCTTTTCTGTGAATCCTGTCTACGTATGCAACCCTGTAATCATGGTGACCACATTTGTATCCACGTAATTATTTTTTCCGTTTCCTTCTCTCCTTGAAAACAGTGCTTCATGATCGCCCGTTAGCTGTCTAGTTGTCACTCCAACAGTATGCAATTTCGCAGCACTGTGACCGAATATCCGCGATATTAAGTGACAATTTCCATTTAAGATCCTTTCGTATCTTCTTTCTTGTTTCAGACCACTTTCTTGTTCCTCACCGGACAACGTGAATGTGTATATAATTGATGTCGGACCCAGCGTTTTGGACCCCACCATGTTCTCCAAACTTCGGTGGGGACAATGTAGATATCCTCACAGAACTTGAGACAGATTTATTTTTGGACCCCATCCGTTAGTCATCTGATATTCACCGTAATACGATTTAGTGTCAGTAGGAACCTTCAGCCCGGATGGTGTTGTCGGTTTATGTTGTGGTCGACTTACATGTCTCGAATTCCTACAGTGAGTATTTTCACCACTAACTTCTCATATATATAGGTGCTTTGAAGATGGTCCACCAGCTTGTGATATAAAAATAGATCCGTTGGTCTGTATGGGCAGCATCTCGGCGAATGTGCTGCTCCTCTGTTCACCTCAGTCGACCCATCAAGAGAAATTCACTGTTTGTATGGAAGCTTTTATCTAATCATTCTCCCAGGTGTTCATAACGACATCAGTCTTCTTCTGACGGCATTCCTGAATGAAATCAGGTTAGTCGTCACTAGTAGACATACAATTACACATCCTCAGATGGCTTGTGCATGACGTGAATACGCTCATGCTTGCCGTTGCACAGTTTCGCTCAATTCTCTTGAGCCTAGGACACTTGGACTATAAACAGAACACTCACCTCTTTCATGTACATTTGGAGTTATGGATAAGTTTTCTAAAGCTTCTTGATATGTTGAAAAAGGATACAAGTACGTTGTTCATTTCGTCGTATTTGTTCGAGTAGACCTGGTGCCGCTGGTGAACTCAGTCCTCAACCTAGAGCCTACGAGTGCTTTAGATGCCTACGGTTACTTTCTCGATATCTGTCTGGAAAATTTGGCCTCTCTCCATTCCGTGGTACGTGAGTTGAGTGAAACGGGTCACAAGTTTTCCTTCTTCAGTTACAGTCATCAACTTCTGGATGCGCATGCATATCCTACTTGTGGATTCTACTTATCCGGTATTCCGAAAAGGTACGTACAGACGACGTAGAAGTGTTTTTCGGTCACCAGTGTTGCAGCATCATTGGTGCCGCCCCTGTGATATAATTCTGTTACTTTCTTAGTCACGTTGACTTATTGTGACTTATTCACGTCGTATCTTCTTCATATTAAACATTTGAACTCGATTATCAGGTTTCTTTTGGATTATCTGAAGGCTCGGTATATCTCGCACATTTCCACGCCTTGTCCTACAACTCACCCGCATTTGCCTGAGGTGCGTACCATCAGAATAATCGTTGAACACCAATCGCTCTTAACACACTTGTCGGCTTTTAAAGTCCACCTGCTAGTCGTCACATGGTCTCCGTATTGGACCTTCGCTGGGGGGGGGAATTTTTCATTATCGGCTAGGCTTCCGGTGGCCGTGCCATAGATAACAAAACAAAAACCCACCCAGTGACCTACACACTTTCAGTTTGGCTGCCCATAGCGTCGGATCACTCGTTCAACTAGTAGGGCTGACCTTCTACGTTGAAGTATGCTATCTTCTCAAGCTTAGACTTCAAGGCCAAAATGCTTACTCTACTTTTGCCACTGCATTCAACCAACTACGCTCATTTGGACCTCATGAGAAAATATTTAGGGAATCATGTGTCGGCCTCGCAATAAGTCTGGCGAATCCGCTTTAGTTTACTGTATCTCGGTGAATTCCTATCTGCTAGCCGGTTCAGTGGCGTTTCTAGGCTTCTGAGCCATGCTAATTATGCTAAGCACCGAAGCACAGCGCTTATCGGCTTTCGAACATATAGTGGCTTCACTTACAGGATGAGATCCCCTAGATCTCATTACACTACCAAAATTCCGAACTGTTTGTTCGTTTGTCGACCCTCCGCACCCCGACCTAATCCACTTCAGACATTGTGAAAGGTGACTTTGTTCCGCAACTCTTCCATGTACTCACACCGTAGTCATCGCTGGCTACATGCTGGAGAAACTTGCGGCCAAGTTACTAAATTTGGGCCTGGTCAGACCAACTTGGAGATGATTCATGTAGCGGAGAATGTTTGTTCAGGCCAATGTATATAATGGACCGCTACTTTCTAAAACCGATTCCGGCACACCTGCCGATTTTTCACACGTTCGCTGTTCCCTAAAAAATCATGAACAATACTACTCATACATTGTACGACGAGCACACTCGGTTTTCATGGACGCCCTAAGCACCATGTAGGTTCACCTGTGGACACGAGTGCAAGTAATCAACCGTTGTTAAAATGAACCGGCTTCGCCGTTGTAACCTCAAGCTGATAGGAAATCGTGAACGCGGTAACCGCCCACAATGGACAAATTGGGTGTATGCACGCCTGGTCGATGTGCCTGGTACTTATTGATGCACCGATGCCTTTCGTCGGCACAACCATCCCAACAATTCGTGAGATGGTAAATCTTGGTGGTCTGGTCGTGCCAGAAAAATGCAAACCACCCACAAAGGCTTTCCCAACTTGTGTGCGCTGTTAGACGGGAACGAGCTAATCTGAGTCCGGTTCTACGCGGTGATTTAGTAGCCACCCTAAACAGACACAACGAGCAGTGAACAAAATAATTCGGACAGCATTTCAACTATCCAATGTCATGCCGATGCTACCCAAACAATTGTTTGTACCGATTAGCCTATCCCTACGGACCCTCTGACCAGTTATGAGGCAACCACAGAGGTGTCGTTAACGTTTTAATCACGTTATCGGAGTTCACACATTTCCAACATCTATGGAAATGTCGGAGAACCAGCTTAGCATTCGGAGGACGTGTAGTACGCCTCGGTGTGTCACTAATCTGTAAATGCGAACATAGGCGTTCCGAGTAGGAAACAGCAGACTGATCACCGTGGTTTGTGGAACACTACCGATGTCTAGTGGGAACCATGTGGCCAATGAAGAGCCGAGGATTTTTGTTGCCACCATACTTTTGTTCCGAGGCAACACCAAATACGCTGGCCGAGACATACCAGGACTGTGGATTGCCTTGCTAAGCCGCGTTCGATATTGCGTGACAGGATTGAGACCAAAAAGCAATCAAACAAAGTGTGATTGAGACATGCTGCTACGTGTTGAATCTGCACTCACTCAAGCTAATCTTTTCTGTCCAACCTAACCAGCATTTGACAGAAAGCCGTGCATTGGAACGAGAATCTGGGAGTGTTTAGTGGAACTCTTGTAATGACTGAATATTGGTCGTGATAATCTTCTACACTTGATGTATTGATGGCAGTATCTCGGCTAAGTGGATGTCGTCCAGCACGCTACTGGGTTCTATTCTTCATCTCCATAACCACTGGTGTAGCTTGTCCTTGGAGCCTTACCTAGAGAAATGGCCATCGCTGATGCGGCTGATTATGGTCCTCACGTTCGGTCGCCAAACCACATTTCGATCTTCCATAGACTGCTTTCACTGCGAGTGGTTGGTTCAATCGTTTCACTCTTGAACGTGATCGGTCGGATGTACGGAACAGGACAGTAGCTTTCACCTTGCGTTTTTCACTTTCATAAGGTTTGTAAACTTCTTTGGTGCTAGGGCTATACACTACTCATGAGGTTGTTGAAAGATCTTCGACAGCCCACGACCAGTTTTGTCCTTCTTGGGGCTTATCAGGTAGGCGCAGTCCCCGATTTCCCAACCCAAATTGCACGAACTTAGCGAAATACACTTATTTGCATACCAGTTTGGTTTTTACGGGAGACCCACTTGCAACCCAGCCTAAAGCATCATCAACCAGAGATTCAGTTGGGTTCCAGGTGAGTCTCCCATCAAAACCAAATTGGTATGCAAATGACTGTATCTCGCTTCTCCGATGACTTTATCTTCCTGGTTTCGTAACGATTGTGCCACGAGTCTTTTTAGACCCACTCGGTGAGGTGAATGATCATCCGGGCCATAATTACGGTACGCTTAGTCATCCCTTAGAATCATCCCTATTCGTATTCACTACAGGGACATCTAGGAACCATCGTCTTTAGCACGTGAAAGATTCGGAAAGCATTGTATTAGCCGTGTCATTTGGCCGCAAAATGTCAGTCTAAAGCCATTGGACACGCGGTTCACATTCATATTAGTCCATTTCTCCATCCTCAAGTCAGTTAAACGCGATCCCCGCTACGATTAGTACCGTTGGATAGCCTATGGATACCCGGTCGCCACTCCGTGCGTGTCATGTTGAAATTATCAGTAACATCGTGGACATTCGCTTCGGAGTATTTCGAAAGTGTCTGCATCAATTCCATTAATGAGCCGACTTTCAGGTTCTGCTAGGCTTTTTTGGTGTTTTCTACCAACTCAATTAGGACAAAGATGGCTGAGGATGTCTGCCCCAAACATTTTTTCCTCATTACTTTGTCGAGGCGCATACCCGAGTGCAACGACATCGTGATTCAACTGTTTATGCTCATGATTAGTATTTTGATTCTTTCTGCTGTAGGTTCACTCTGGTTGGTTCAAATATTTGCACGGTAAACTCACAAAACTTGCTGTACCGAAAAAAACCTGTATTTATGGTACGTTCCTGCGAATTGATATATAAGTTTTCTACATTTCCTTAAATGCCGGTTACTTGTTCCCCATCGGATTTTATTTTCACTTTACCTATTTCAGTATTGGATGATTTCTTTAACCGTCAGTCCGTAGAACAATATGCGAAGATGCACTGTAAGAAATTCTAGTTAGAAGTTGCTTCAGTGTCTTAAGATTCATAGCTGGTGCCCGTGGGAACTTGGCGAGCTAATGCTGTTGACGACCGTAGATAGTTTGTTACCAAATAATGGGGTCAGATGTAGCTCAAAATTTGACGCAATTTGAAGTGGACTATTATTCCGCGGAGTGAGGGTTTCAACACCATCATGCTCTGTTAAGCTGCACACTGTTTGGCCAGCTCACGGCGTCCAAAAGGCTGAATGTTGGCAGAAACCATTCAACTGTCGGCTATGGCCAGGTATATCTGGCCAAAGGGCTTATCAAGCCAGTGGAGGTATCGGTATCAAACTGGAATGAAAAGGAGAAGATAGGATAGTCTTTCCGAACTCCGCTAATTGTAGGAAAATTTGGGACAGTTGTAAATTCAACACGTGAATTGTGTGTATTCATATAAATCAGAGATGTTCCTGTTTGGTCGGAAGAGCCCATTTACGAAGTTATAAACTCCCTAGACGTCGAGAACAATCACAGTTATTGGCTGGCAATACATGTGCTGGTGTTCCACTATTTGATGTAATGTGAAGATGTGACCAAAGTACCCTGTTACTCAGAGGTAACTCTTCTCCATGGTCTCACATTTGCATCCCCTTTACCAGAATTAGATGTCACAGTAGTGCTGAAACCAGTAGCCACGCTTTGACAAGTATCAGGTTTGTACTTCTATGGTTGAGGTAGTTGCGTCCTTGTTTCAACGGGGAAATAACGAATGGTTGGTTTCAGTTTTCCGGAGTGCTTTTTCCAGTATACGTTCGAACACTAGATAAGGACGAACACAATGATCCGCTGTTGTCTTTAAGTGATACTGGTGGAAGCTCGTCTCACACGACGGCCCCAGGGGTGTTTCAAGGCAGGAAGGCATAATTATTTCATGATTATCTGAGGGAGTATCTAAACTCACAGACCACTATTTGAGTTTGACCATAGGAAACCTATGGTCAGCCATTCATTAAGAGGACTGCAAGAGAAACAAGAAAAAGAGGGCTTTCTACATCTGCACAGTCACAGTTTGCTCCTCCGTTTCTATGGTTCACCCTTTGGACAACGATAGTAAGAGACCCGGCCCGTGGCAATGTAACTGTGTCGGTTATTTGTTTTACGCATCCAGTGCACTCCATCTAAAAGTTCCCGCGATACTGATTTTGTTGCCCTTTTCACGTAAATTTTAGTGCTTCCTGCTACTTCGATTCTCATCACTGGTTGTAATTCTTGTTTTATAGCTCCCAACACGCTTGAACGTCTTCGCCCTGATGTATACCTGACGGTTGAGACTGAGAGAAGTGGTCAGTCAACTTGGTCACTTTACTGGTCGTTGTTGGCTTTCACTGCACCGTTGCACTCCATGTACATGAATTTCCAAAATGGAAGTGAGGTAAATTTCTGCTTAATCCAGTCAGTTTTGACCGTGATCTTAGATAGCTACTTTGAAAGTTGGCCTTAGAAAGGTTAGAAATCTGTAGAATTTCTTCTGAAATAATAGGAAATTTTTGTTCAACCACTGTTATCTTCACGCTGTCAAAACCTCTTGTTTTTCCTATTCTGCATATTCATCACAATTGACGGCCCCAAATTTCGAATGAGAGCCTCCATCCTCACCTTTTTACTCCTTTTTACTCGACTGAACGTAACACTTATTTCATAATCATGCATACGAGTCAGCTGTTGGGCAGGCTGAATAATCCCGTTCCTGGACAACGTTATGAGGAAGTGAGAATCGTGCCTATAGCAATATAGTCGATTGTGTCATTTTTACGCTCAGTCTTGTCTCTGCGTGCTCATTTCTGTTTCAGTGCTTGCTTTGGGAAGGCACTTAACAGCCTTTTCAGTGTAGGCTTTTGTGATCATGCTCATCTGAATGGATCGATCAAACAAAGGTACCGTTGATATAGTGTTCGACGGGTCAACAGAAAGTAGCTTCTCTTAAGAGTGGATCCCTGGATGGAGGTAGCTTTGATGTATTCTTGATAATTTTTTGTAACCGTTTGTTCTAGGTACTGCAGACTGTAGATCTAATTACGTTAGTTCTGTGATGCTACTATGCACCTTGAGTTGACCACTCTATCATGACTCTTACCGATGACAGTTTGGCGGTTGCCCGTTCGTTTGCTCTCAAAGGAGAAATCCATCCATTGTTCACACCGGAACGATTTTTAGCACGGGGCCAGCTACGTAGTTTACAAGCATCTGTTGCATGCATTTACACGAATGCGAAAACTTCTCAGCATTAAAAGGCCAAGTATCTACAAAAAATGGTCGTATAATTGAATGAATTTATGCGTCTAGCGCATTATGTAGCACAGTTCAGTGAATGTTTTTTCTTAGGCTGTTAGACTTGAGATGTTTATCGACGGTGACCGATCATGCGCACGTCTGTGACTGGAACGAAATCATAGGCGTTTGTTCGCAGAAATCAGGATAGTAAATCCTATCGGTAGATTCTCAACGTTTTTCCCAGTCTAATTTCAATTGCGTGGTGATCCCAAGTCCTAATATCTTCGACTAGCCTGCTTTTCTTTTTTATGTACTCCATTTGCTCTTTTTCTCAGGTCCCCAAAGGTTTACTACAGAAGTTCTCTGTAGTTATATGGCTTATTCGGAAACAATTCCTTGGGGTAAGTTATAATTCGTTGTGGCATACTTCAATCAAACATCGTTACATCAGACAATCGAAATAAAACCATCAATGGCTTATTACAAGTTCTTTGTTTCTCGCGGGTCTTTAACCAAACCCAAATCTTGATGGTCGAGTCATTCTTTTCAAGTGGATTGGCTGTATAGTTGGTTTACCTTGCTTTCCAGAAATATGGTCATCGTACAGCTTGTGGAGAAGTAGGCTAAAACCTTCGAATAGAAATAGAACTGATCTAAATAACTTTCGAACCTAAAACACAATGTTGCTTGCACCACACAGCACATTGAGCGTTAGTTCAAAATTGTAAGAAATTACTTCAACCCGGTCTGCTTTTCATCCAGTAATCAGACACGAAGCACTCTGGTGTCATCAAGTTACCGATATGGGTTCAAAACCGCACTTCACTCACAGATCAAATTATCATGTTCGTTTTCATCACAAGAGACAATCCAAAAGCAGATTAGCTCGAACAAACGCCAGGTTGGACGGAGTGGACGGATGAGGTCTCCAGCCAAGATCCAGCGGCCTGACCGATGGTTTTGGTCTCCACAACTCCATGCCGCTTTTCAGTCTTCACCGGGTTGTTCGGAGACTAGAGGCGCGCCCTCGAAACAAGTCCCTGTGGCGTTGGGGACGTCCGTCCTACACAAATCCCCGAGTTACTCGTTGATTATATCACCGTTGCTAGGCCTCGGTGGTCTAAGTAAGCGACATTGTGCAAGCTGGCCCTTGATCTTCCCTCAAAGTCAGGAACGCACTACGTATAGGTTACAGAAATATCCATTCTCCGTTCGACGTGGGAGACCAAATTGTCACTGTACTGTGATATTCCATGACTTTCGGAGGCACTAATTCTTGGTTTCGGTTCACACCACAGAGATCCAGGGATGGAAGCCTACTGTCTGTACCACAGCGACCCAATTGATAACCCGTACCCGAACGGTCACTCCCCTTAGAAAATGTGTCAAAGACTACTCATTCTCTCGAGAACCAGCATCATCCAGGATTGCAGCAGCTCGTTTCAAAGACTTCAGTGCACCGGTGCAGTAGCCCCGTAGCTAAATTGATTTGGCCCAGGTAACCAAGCCGCTAAAGAGGGAATGTCCTCAGGTGAAGGTAATATCCCGGCGGAGATCTACAGATCCCGTTTGCCGGCAGCCTTCGAACCTCTTCACAAGCTTTTCTGTTGGATGCAACAGCGTACCAGGGAATCCGCCCCAGCACACAAATTCAACTTCGAAAGCAATTGTACAGTAAATGTCGGCTTCGTCAATAACCAATCCGTTACCTGAAACTGGAACTTGCGTCGATCCAACAGCTGCGTCCCACATCGTGAACGCAGAGATGCTAGGCTATTGCAGTTAGCTAAATTCGTTGCTATTGGGAGAGGTCAAGTGGAACTGTTGGAACAGAAGGAATAGGTCGGCCTATGTACATTACTGTGCTGATCGACCTATATTCGACATACTGAGGACAAATACTCCTTCATTCTTGACTGATATTCTTCCGTAGTACGTGCCTGAAGAGGATTCGGCCGTTGGCTTCCTGCCTTCCATTTAGATCGCTCACCTGCACTGGAACTCCGGGTGTTTTTATTGCATTTCTGGCTCTGGCGAATGCCACTCTGTCAGTTTTGATTCAGTAACTGCGACATTCCCAAAGCTATATACCCATCCCCTGATATGACGACAGATATTGTGTTACTTTATGACCGTCGTCGCACAACAACATGTGAAACCGTTGTCATAGACTAGCTGGTGGCACTGACCACAGTCCATTACACCTAGGACGACATCACACATATGGGTCGGCCACAACCTTGAATTCTACCGTGAGTTGAAGGGTGCCACTTGTTTTGTTGTTTGTTTCGTCTAAAACCGTGCAAAAAGTCTGTTTTGGAGGGTTGGTGATTACATATTTGCTTGTAATTTTCAAGTGTCAGTGACAGATGGTTCACGAAGATATCTACTGTGGTAGTTGTTCGGGCGACTGTTGATCTGTTCGCGTAGCTTGGCAATCATCTTGCAAACTGTGTGTCACCAAGCTTGGCGAACAGATCAACGGCCACCTGATCAACTACCAATGAGCGCACCCGAACTGCCAATACTCCGGTACATTTCTTTGTCTACCCTGTATTCTGGAACACTCAAGATGCTCGGTTGCTTGACAAACTGTCCTTTGGCACCTCATAGTGACACGTTTCTCACTGAGTTTTACCTAAACGTCGTGGTCCAGATACGTCCAACGGAATAATGGATTATAAGTTGTCCTGTTCATAGTTCGGTAGATGCATTTATTTCCTATGGCAAGTTGATTTCACATCGATTAGCCTCCCCAGGCAGAGTCCTCGGTACGTGACACACCGATAGCTGGTGCCACTGGTGAATGTGGTCAAGTCCGGCGGCTAGTGGCCTGCGTGCATAGTTGCCCTGGCTTCTGTGAGTGAATTCAAACAGCTCAACGTCGATGAAACGTTTAGGTAATTGTATCCAATCTATGGTTGTCCTGGTTATTCCGCCTGTCGCTGTTAAGGTAAACTGTGGCAGCTGGAACCATCGTATCTCGATGTATGGTTTACAACTGACAAACGGAACTAAACTGAACTGAACTCTTGCGTTAGGATTCCCCATTAATAAGCTTCACCCTATATTACTATGGTAGTCCTGCTAAGAATTTGAATAGTCCTATTCATGCATCACTAGTTTATTGAGCCTTGCTGGAAAGAGCGAAATCGATAACAGTACCACTTTGCGTGAACATTCAAAATGCCCTACTCGCTTCCGTTGATTTATCTTGTCGCTGGAAGAGGACTCAGTGAGGATAATCGAATAAAAATAAATTATCGTCCTCCCAAAGCATATTTTCGTTGTATGACTGCCATGCCACTGGAGCTGAGGTGCTCCCAGGTTTTCTAAGCCTGGACAGGAGCGATCGAGATTGGATTCGAGCCGCGCACCTTCCCCTCAATAAGTTCGTGCTGTAACCAGTGGACTATCTCGAGCTCATCAGTGACGATGGTCTGCTTGGCCAATGAAGTTCACCGTCAGACGACATTGTCTGAGCCGGTTGTGCACCAGTCCATCTATTTTTACGTTTCGCCGTTTGGCTTGCTACCAGGCTCTCATGAAGAAATGTTTTGTCCTGCGCAAATATCCACACACAAATATCCCACAACTATCCATGTGTTTGGTCTCAATTAGGCGTAAATCAGCTTACGCGGGGATAGCCCGAGATGTCATCATCCCTTTCGCTTTGCTCGTTTCCTAAATGGGGTTTTTGCGGTCTGCGATGGTGGCCCACCCATACAATCAAGGTACAAAATCCCTTGTTGTCCTTACACTTACGTTGTGAGAGGCCTTCCCGACTTTGACTTATCGATGCCGTTTATTTTATATTTTTGCATTAGCAATGGCTCCTGAGTGTTTGTTTTTTGGTTCTTTTTTTTCAGGAGTCAACGCTTTCGGAAAAAGATGCCCATACCTCACTGAAGTCCCTACTTCAATTGATCGAGGTTTGGGGCTCAAACATCGAAGTTGTTCGCCTGTTGTGGCTATACTTTTCTCGCAAGCTGGTGTGTTTTTGATTTTCATCCAACTTGTTTACTCCATGGTTAATCGAATCGATCGTACTTTTGAGTATATAAACCGAACCGGTTTTGAAACTAATCCTAAATAAAACGGACCTTCCTGTCCGCAAAATACTCGCGGACCGCTGATATTTGTTGAAGCAAAGAGCAGTGCTGCTACCTACATGTTTGAAAAAGTTGACTGGAACTTAATAATCCCACTGAAAACTTTGCTACTTATGTATAGTCGGGGTACGTCTGTTCACCGGTGTCCTAATCGCAGTGAGGCATCTTGGCTTCACTCCCAATTGATCATCATCATCACCATCAAAGACAGCAACAGTGTCGGCACTGATGCTTCCGTCCCGTACAACCAAAAGAGTTTTTTAAGCACCTTTAAAGCCTTCAAAACCTAGAGAAAAGAGTGGGTGACGGAGGGGACTTGGTGCTGGTTTACCGTAACACTCAATCAGGCGATCTGGAACGAATTGATGGCACGAACACCGTTGATGTCGGTCTTTCGCCATTTCTTACAATGTTCCCAGCCAAGCGTAATAGGAGACCCCATCCTGGAAGTTGTACCCCGCGAACAACAACCAGACTCTTCGTAATCTCTTTCACACCCTTCTACCGAGTCATACGTTGCCAATCTCGCGGATTGCGCCGTTCTGAAGGAGGCGTGGAGAATAACACTTGTATCGGCAAATTGTGTTTCAGCATACGTAACGTATGGCTAAGTAACAGGAAGGTCAGATTCCTGAAAGCAACTTTAGAACGCCCGGAACCTACTGCTCCACCAAAAACTCAACTAGAAAGCCGGCAAGCATCCAGGCCAGTCAATCATTCAATCAATTCATCAAAACCTGATGAGTGTTCTTGCGCGCCACAGAAGCGCGACCGAATGTAATCAGCGTTCAGGCTTTTCACAGAGGCACGATCGATGTTGATGGGTGATCACTAACGCCTATCAGACAGCCTGGATCAAAGTCAGAAAGTCCTCTTTAAATAGCGTGGGGCCGTTGTAACTTTTGCTCTCTCACTCACTCGCTTGTTCAGAATACAGCCGTTGTGTTCCCTTCTGTGAGTCTTTTCCCTCCAACACTAGGCACTGGAGCAGGTCAGCAGCAAATACCACAGATCGACGAATCAGCAGATATAACACTAAGCCACCGTAGTTGATTGGGTTGGATGTTTTCCGTGACTGAAGTGCCCACCCCACAACCAAACACCCGTTTTTTAATTACCCAGATACAAATCCGTTGGTTGGATACCAGCAACGCTTTTGTGGCATCGGTGGTCGCAAATCTGAAGACGCTTCAAATCATCTGTCCGCAAAGGCCATGTCCCCCAAACCACGCAACAACAAAACCCTTGCTGTATCCCGGTACATGCTACCCTTAAGACCCAGTGGTACGCCTGTTTGACCCCACAAATGACGCAAATTAACAAACGAGATTCGGACTCTGACTTCATTAGGCATTTTTCAATCAGATCTAATACACAGCGAGGTATGTGACATCTTCCACAACTTCAACTACTACTGCTTGAATTTCGAAGGATATGTTCAGGGTCTCCACGTTCCGAAGCATGACCTTGCACTTTGAAGGTGCAAGGCGCATGTCGCAATGGTCAGTTTATTCAACAGAACTGGTCCTTGACCTTCGTCTCTGTACTCCAAGTCGACGAGGTTCTCAGCAGAAACAAATTGAATACAGGGGTTTTGAAGACTTTTCAGCGTCCGCCTCATTATTTCATCGACGATGAATTTGACCAAGGACGAAGAGAGTGGACATTCTTGCAGGACACCACTTTCTATGGGGTGGCTTTCATAGGGCCCACCATACGCTCTTACGCGCTCCGAAGTATGTGAATAGAGAGCCCGGGTCATGTTCGCAAACTTCTGTTGAGCAAGTGTGTTTAATTGCACTGACTGGTCAGATTTATGGACTTTGAAGTCACTGATGCAACGGTGCTCCTCTGATGACCCGTGTTTTTCCACCTTTCGTTATCTGCACTAAGCTCTATGAGTTTTGGTTCGCCTGGGTGTTTCGAGAACTGTTATTTGACGGCAGGGCATTGTGCATAGTTAAATTCACCCACCGTTCCCTTGTTCTGCATACTCATAAAGTGCCTTAAATTACAAATGAACTGTTGAAGAATCCATGCGCATAGATCGCAATGCTGATTATACGTCTTGTTAAGCACTCCTTTATATCGACATCCTTAATCCAGGATCATGGACTCCTGCCCATCGGTGAACAGAAGTCAGCTGGACCCTCATCAAACCAATCAGGTATCAGGTTAGTCCTGGCGTTCCCGTTGTGTTCTGATATAAAAATTGTCGTCCAATATCTATTTTCTGCGGTAATCTACCCGGAAAACATGCACTGAAACTTCATGAATTCGCTTCCAGCGGAGCTCACGCTTGAGTCTTCAGACGAGCCACTATTGTTTGTCCCATGAAGTTGGTTCAGTAATAGAAACCCCTGTTATCAGCATCTATATTTTCACATCCCTTCTCTACGCACTTTGGTTCTTGACTAACGCTTGAGGCTCGGTGTTTCAGAATGGGAATCAACGTAACTGATGCAATCTTGTCCGCATCTTGATAGAACACAACTTAGCATGTGAACAACCCAAACTTTGATTTTCTATCTTCGCCTGTTATTCTCTCGAAGCTCAATATACTTCCTAGCATTTCCCCCGCATATCTTCTCCAAGTGCCACGAGTAGCCAGTTCTTGACTGTCAGTCTCGAGTTCGCACTATGGTGTATCAACTGCTCCGCGCGTTTGTTTGTCTGTTCAACATGAACCGTGGGACAGAACGACGTTTCAGATGAGAATTATCTGGCCACACGTGTATAACATGTAAATGATCATTGGTGTACGTCCTCAGTTTCAGTGATTTCGAACACGGCGATTGGTTGTTACCAAAAAACCTTCCTCGTATGCTCTGTGTCCTGATGTTTAGAATTGCAATTATCACTTTGAAACAACTGCAGCTTTGCCATCTCAGTCTTATTACTCTAGTTCTTTATCAGCCATTCGAGTACTTGGTGATACCAATGCAGTACTTTCTGTTTGCATGAAACATCCATCCAAACAAGATCTGCAAAGTAAACAATCTTCGCAACGGGAGTATATTACGCTTTTCTAAAAATCCTGGGTCCCCAAATCGTCTCGTGAGTGAAGACTGCTATGCTGATATCTTGTTTCAAAAAAATGTGGATCTTGCTTACAGGTCTAATTGTTTGAGTGGGAATGGGCACATGGTTACAGGACAACATATATTGTACACATTCGGGACAGGGCGTACGAACGTGAAGTTCGGCAGGGAAGATTATGTAGAGTTAAACGTGCTTACCTCAGCAAAGGCGGGGGGGAATTCGGCAGCTGTGGATCTTGACAGTTACTAGCCATTGTCAGGTGCGGCGCATGGTTAAAGTGCCCTGTTTCCCAGACCGGAATTTCGGAGCTGTTTAGAGTTTTTCATAAGCTTCTGAATGTCTTGGAGACGAATTTGAAACGATATAGTAGACCAAAGCGATGTTAGCTACCTGTGAATGTGGAAACCTTGGCCGAGTCAGATATGCTTGAACAAATTCTTAGTTTCTGTTATCTATCCACCCGACTACGGCTTGACGCTCAGTGTAGGTACTCTTGCATATTGGTCGTTTTTCTTCAAACCTAGCAGTACATGAGAATTTCTCTAACTAGTGTTCAACCTATTGGAAAATGTTTGGGACCGATTGGGAAATCATCGTTTCAGGGGGGTTTGGTAAACAATTGCTGGATTTATTGCTGGGCAACGTTTCGCTTTTGACACAAAAGCTTCGTCAGGCCGAGTAAGCAAGTAGGTTGATTGGGTTTTAAGACAGTCGGGGAATCAATCCGTGAGATTCCTTATGACTAGTGACGTGATCGGTGCTGGGTGTCAAAAGCGAAACGTTGCCCAGCAATAAATCCACCGATTGTTTACCAAACCCCTCTGAAACGATAGTGTTCAACCTTTTATACGTATATATATATCGACTTCGACCAAACATACAATCAAGCAAGTGAGGGCGGGAAACTGATTTCAGCATGCAGTCCGGTCGCGGGTCTGATTTCAAAAGCACACGGTTCCAGTACACATTAAAGTTTTCCCTAACATATGGGTTAACTGAGATCAATACGAACGGGAAAAGTTGTGGAACCTGAGGGACTGTACGTACGAATCTTAGCTAGGAACCCAATCCTCAAAGATAGGTGAACGTTTAGATGATTTATTCCTGCCACCATATCCAGAGCATACATTGTTACTGTTGTTTGGTTAAAAAAGACAGTTACGGTTATTGTAAGCACGGTCATTGCACAATAAGCGTCGTCGCTGTCAATCTGTTCATTCGAACTTTTCTGGTGTACGCGCTGCAAACTGACATGTCCTACCTGCTTTGAATCGGGATATTAGATGATGACTCCCATCTGAAATACGCTCGCATCTTTTCATTGGTAGTATTTGTCCTCGGCCCTTCCACTCGCTTAAGGTTCCGTTATTTTCCCATTCCCTAGGTTTTCTGATTGGCTCTCAAAGGTTCAACAGGATCAAACTTCCGCGTAAGTCCACCGTTGTGCTTTGGAATTCCACCCTACATTGTCCGTGAATAAGTCTTTTTGTAAATATTTTGAGAGAATTCTTCGTTCCCGTGACTTTTGACGTTTCCTTTTAATTTCCAGACTCACCGGTTTCGAACTCTTTTGTTCGGTTATTCGCACAACACCAACAACGGAACTAAATGAGCTTCGAGGAATGTAGGTTGATTTTGTTTTTTAAGCCAGATTTTCGTGGCTCCAGGTTTCGACTCGGTTCATCCATATTGTACGTATGTTTACATTTTTCATGCTGATCTTGGCTAATCAGTGCATTCTTAATGACCTGTTCCCATCGAAAATCATAGAGCTGGGGCGAGATGGCCCAAGTGGTTAGAGCTCGGATTTACTGACCGGAAGGTCCGTGGTTCGAACCTGACCTCTGCCCCTCGAATTCCCCTGTGTAGGCTTGGGCAAATTGGCAGTACCCCACCCCTCGTGCCTCCTTCGTGTGGCATGGCAGCTAGGCACAGAAAGGGTGCCACAGGTGAACGATTTTTTTCATAGAGCTGGCAGAATGGGTTTCTACGTCGTTTTTCACCTAATTTTCAAAATTCTCTTGTTTATTGTTGCTGCGTCATTACGAACAACGGCAGTATGTTTCTGGGACTATTCGGTACCCTCTATTTAGCATACACTCTTTATGCTTCGAACAGCATTAATAATAAGTGTGGAATGTTCTCAGTTCTTCTGTGACTGCATCACGCAGGTTAGTTGCATGATTGCTTGAGAATATACATAAACTAGAACGAGGCTTTACTATCGCTCTGTTTTGGTTTCGCTGCATCTGTGAGCTTACGTTACATTTTCAGAAGTCTACGTCTTTAAAAACGTCTTTAAAACTAAGCATCATTTTTCTGTCACGGCTGTGGATATCGGGGTTAGCCAGACCGGTCATCGATTTGTTAAAGAATCGCGTGATATGCTGAACCACTTTAGCTGAGCGCTCACCCTTAAAAATGTGTTATTTTTGAGAAACTCTCGCATACTAGACACGTCCGTCGCAACCACTCATCTCGAATTTCTCCCCTTCGATTCATACGTTTGTTCAGCCTGAAGTTCCAGTTACGGTCACTTACCCGCCAAGCGTTGTCTCTATACTTCCTCCTCTTGGGACACCTTTTCGATGAGCATCTCTCCGGGGGGAGAGAAAAAGCCGCCGAACTTCCCCGATCCTTTGCAACCTTGGTGAGTTGTTCTTCCTGTTCATCATGGCTATAATTTTCCAGGTAGATATAGTTTCTGACCAGTTCCCTGCGGACGTGTCTGCGCAGGAAACGCAGAATTGGGACAATGGGCGACGCTGTGCGGCCTTACAAGGAATACATCACCTCGTTCTACTCTGTGTTTATTACTGGACCACAGGGGTTACCTCGAAGCTTATGGTGCACTCAGAAATGAATGAAAGTTTCCTACGTTTGATTGGTATCTCCACAGCTCTTCGACATAGTCTGCTATCGAGGTAAGATGCTGCTAGCTGTTATCTTACCCTGAGTATGGTTTACGGTGGAGACTCATAAACACTTCCCCTAGGATGTTATTCCTCTGTTAGTATTCAATAATCTCACCTACTTATTCCGAATAGAGATTACGCGTGCATCTCCCGACTATTTGATTATGATTTTCATATATCAGCTTTTGTGCAAATTTTGGAATCGTTAAAATGCATAAGAAGCGGGTGCTCTTTTTTGGGACCGAAAAGCATACAGCTACCCGATTCACTGCATTACCTGATTTTTTCCAACAATGAAGGTCGTAGTCACTCTTACCTGGTCAATCGAAGCCAACAGCTACTTTCATCTTTTTCATCCAGTCGATCATTAGTAGTAAATACCGAAACTTGTCGATACAACTATCGCTGGCTAAAAAAAACTCGGGATCCGCAGATTTTTTACAGACGGGGATGCAGTTTATTGTGACTAATAATTTATTTTATTAATAGCGACTTTGCCCAACGGTACATGTGAACTGTTATCAACTTGCCAAACGTCTTTTTTGTGTGGAAAACACGACTGTTGTATGACGAAGCTGCGATTCGTCTCGAGGATTTTCGTATGATGATCAACTCATCTCTGAAGGTTGAGCTGATTCTTCTAATACAGTCACTCGTTCTTTTAAAAGTTCACGTCTGTAGAACGAAAAATGTAATCTATCTGCGTGGTTTTTGTACGGTAAGAGATGGATTTCTTACAAACTGAACGGTCTTTCTGTGGTTTGCGATCTTGTTAGTCGGTGGTTCGGTCATTTACTGTGCCATTATTTGTCAACTACGGTGCCCTTCATACGCGCTTATTATGCTATTATTCCCGTTCACCTTAACGAACTTGCAGATGCTGAACCTCTACGGGTAGTGGTGAGAGGGAAACTGCACTCTATATGTGCGGTGTGTGTGTGTGTGTCAACGAAGAAAACCCCTGCATACTCACGCGTTCTAGCTAATTCAATCAGAATTTTAGAAAACCATCATGAAAAACGATCGCTTGTGTTTTCCCCAATGGTGTGGTATACTGCACTTCATTTGGCTCCGTTGAGATCTTTCATTTTGTTGACGTTTGGGGGTCGTTTTTCTATCTTTCTCACACTATTCCTTACTGATTAACCCCAATGATCACTCTCTTGTTTTCTAAAAAAACTGGTTTGTCCTCAAGTTGCCGGATAGCTGCAATCCTCAATTATACGAGCCACGTGTATTCATTTATTTCGAGTTAGCCATACGCTTAAGTCGGAATAAGTTTGTGTTACACGTTTGCTAGACCCGAAGGAAACACTGAATTTCTATTTTTCCTCCAACCCTCAGTCCCGATTGCGGTGCTCTGCAAAAGTCAGAGTAACTTACACTTGACAACACTTCTGTTTTTACTCGACGGCTGATTTGCTGTTGAATTTTAGCCAGTATCGAAGCAGGTCGTGTTCAACTGCGAATAAGAGCCTGACGATTTTGAGGTTCATGACGACTGTGGCTTGTTTCTCGATCTTACGGTACGGATTGGCCATTACTGATTGGATTCAATCCTAACTCGCGACTATTTTTCGCCCGAAATGATTTTTCTATACTTTTACACTATATACAGGCAGTGATAACTTCCATCTCACTTTTCCTTGTGCTGTCCTCAGATGCCTCTTTTGTCAGAAGTCGTTTTTGCCTAGACAGCAAATTACAGATTGGTATAACATGCAATAACGCACGAAAGAGTCCATAAATTGATACATAATTTGAAGGAATAGATGACAATGAAGTTGATCTTACTGTACCACAAATTCTGTGCGAAACGCAAACGCTTGCATACTGAAAAGTGGGCACTATATCAGTTGATGTGGGAAAATTTGACGTATTCCCTGATGAAGTTGTCACCCCCACTACTTCCTTCACGTCTGACTTGACTGGACACCTTGCTCATGTACTGCTACAAAGTCTCGCGACTCTATAAATGACTGGGTTATTTTCTCCCGTTTGATGAAAACGGAAGTAGTATTGAAACACCATAATTTTTTCACTGTGACCTTGAATAGAAATCAAGTTTGGGAGCATAAGCCTTGTAGATCGGCTTTTTCAGCGCGGAGTTTGCAGGACATGGACAATATGGCTGCTGTGGCTTTTTCTCTGGAAGGCATCTTCGAATCTAAACTCGCTAACTAAACTGCAGTAAACCACGGTCGAGTTTGAATCCTGAGGTACAAGTGGACCTCGTTGGTTCTTCATAAGCTGGCGGATTTTTGCCTTCGACTGTTATGTACGATTAAAGTCTGGTTACCACCTCTCTCACCGATATTCTTCGTATCCGTTTTCCTTAGCGGTACTTCCACATTGAAACCCAATGAATTGGGAGGCAATACATCTCGTGCGCATCATATGTATGCTCTGGGTTGGCGCATGGAATTGGTTAACTCACTTGTTAATTTTGGTCTGGATTTGATGGAACTGGTCGAATCGCAAGTTTGTACGCAAGAGGTGGGCCTAGCCGTCCTTACAAAGTGTCTCGGTAAGTCAAACTACTGATTCCGCCAAATTTCTTAGGGCATCTGGTGGTCGTGAGCACCAAAGTTTGTACGTTCTGGTTCTATGCTTCAGCATGAGTGACCGTCAGTAGTGCCCCGATAGGAAACCGATAAATATGTCGTCCCTGCATTAGTCGGATCGAATGCGTCGACCATCTAATCCTTTCAACTCCCGTGTTATACTTGCAGCCTTCATTGAACTGTCCAGTTTCGGTATCTATCCAAGGCAATATACCGTCAACTCACACAACTTTACAGTGGGAACCACAGAATAACGTGTTACTGCTCAAATAACGCCTGGGACTGAGTCAGGCTGCGGTCACTTATGGCTCTTGCAGCTGATTTCGTTGCATCCTGCTGGTACGGACTGAAGGTTTCACATCAGGATATTGAAAGCTGAATATCGCAATGTAGACTTCCAATTCCCAATGAAGAATAACGGTTTTCCATACTACGAGGAATCGTATTACGAGGCGGTTTGGAGGTAAAGTCGTAGTGTCCTCCGCAACAGAATTGTGAAGGCAGTAAGGCGTTTTCCCCAGACAACCACATTTTTGGAAGCAGCAATGCTGCCTTCTCGATAGGAAGGATGGGTTAGAAAACGTCCGCCCTAAATCCGCACACTCCGATCTCTCAATGGTTGATCGTAACTGTCGACGCATTACTCAATACGGTCGAAATACTTTTAAAACCAAAGAGTCTGATGCTGTTTAGAAGGCACTTTCTGTGCGTCAGACCGTCATAGCGTACTCCCTGTGCCCTCAGATCAGGTCAGCTCTTTTCAGAAGAGTGGGTCAGACTATCGAACCAATGGCTACAGGAAGAGTCGCCCAATAGAACCCCAAAGACCGCTGTTTCAAGGTTCACGAGAGTTTAGGGCAAGGGTCTCTCCCACTGCCTCTGGGCTCTGATCACCACAGTTTACGGACATTTGTATCTGTTCGCTTTCCCTCTGGAATACTTCGGTTGGTGCATAGCCATTCAATTCTCACTCGTATTGAGTCTTTGTAACTCAACGATATCGACTCGAGTTGGCAGAGATGCTTCCTTAACTTGAGGAGCCATGCTCACAGCCTTTGATACTGTATGACCGCAGTCGTTCTTACACTCCTTATTAGTCAGTCACTTGGTATCTGCCATCTCGCTAGATTGGGACTGTCACGAAGACTGGACCTTACCATGGTGTGACCCTTTGCACACCTCAGCGACCCATTGAGCGATACAGTGTTTCTCATACCAGTTTGGTCAATGGTTAGGGGTCTGACAAACACAGTCTCCTGGTCCTCCAGTTGAAACATGTGGCAGCTTGTCAATGCATGTCAATGCATTTGCATTTCCCGCCAAACACCGCTGCCTTGCGGTTAGGCTTTTGAGCCAAACGCTAAGGTTGAGGACCCTATTCGTCATCCTATCTAGGTGTGGGCGTCCTGATAGTATCCCAGCCTACGTACAACCTACACTCTTTTCATTAGGTGTTTGCTATGCATGAGATTATGTTATGTTTCTGTTCGTCCATTTGGCATCTTTATGGTTCGAAAAATCCGTGTACGGCACATAATTAATTTGTATTCTATCTATTATTACCTTTTAGACGACTCACTTTTTCGTGCTGCAGGTTGGCCTGACCACGTTCAGTGGAGCACATATGTTAAACGGCTTGTCTTCTACGTATCCAGGTAAATGATCAGCTTGTTCATTGTCATGCACCGTAAGAACACTCTTATGGTGAGAGAAAATCGTTCATTTCTTGCAAATATTCTCTATTATGAGTGTAAACGTCGGTTTACCCAAACCCAGGATCAGTTCAGTATATGCTTGTATTCGTTTACCAAAGTATCATAAGAACAGCATAGAAAAAGGGACCAACGTGAACAGGTTTATTTTTCACTCTCTTGGATCCACATTCTTTTGACGCTCTGGACAAGCGGTCTTAAAAATGACAAACTAGGAACCTATCTTTTAGCTACCCAAAATATTCTGGAATTGATGTTTGCAGGCCACTATCTCCATCACGTAGCCTCTTTAAGGGCTTAAAAATATAGATAATAATAAATCGTTCATCCGTAACACCCTTCCGGTGCCTAGCTGCCATGCTACCCGAAGGAAGCACGAGGGCTGGGATGCTGCCAGGTTGCCCAAGTCCGGACAGGGAGGTCGAGAGGCTGAGGTCGGGTTCGAACCACGGACCTTCCGGTCAGTAAATTCGCGCACCAACCGCTTGAGCCATCTCGTCCCCCCCTTTAAGGGTTTGCTTACATTCATGCTTCACAAACGTTTCCCATTATTAGACTGATTCCCCAGTAATATTCGCTCACCGCCTTGTCACTTGCCTCGACAATTGTTGGCGAATTCCCACAAATTCGACCGGAAGATGTCCATCATCCAGACCACTAGGACGCACACAGTTTTACTATCCCAACTAGTTCACACTGCTCGTAAGTCAGTACTGTAAAGTTCTGTAAAGTTCAAGCACCCGGTAACTAGTCGACTACAGAACTAAACTCCACCTGCGGAGGCAGGGATAGAGTTCGCTAGCCCTCAGTTGCTTACGGCGACGTATCGGCCCACGTTTGAATGAACAATTATAAAGTACGTCAGTAGGAGCTGTACTCCTCAATGGGTGCGAACGCTGCAGCTACGAGATATCATTGTCGTCTGTGAATTACCTCGCACATCTGGTTGCGAGTGAGCAGTATGAAAATCTGGCAACAGGTTTCCGCCGATGCCAACATTGCCAAATTAGACCACGTGATTAAACTGCTCAGCCTTCGCTGGCCAGGTCTTTTTCCAAGGGTGTGATCACACATCTCGCCATCACCAAGACGAGATGGCTCAGTACTTAGAGCATAAATTTACTGGCCGGAATTTCGTAATTTGAATCCTACCTCTGCCTCTCGACTTAGGCATAGGCAACCTGGCAGTATCCCAGCCCTTATGCTTCCTTCTGGTGGCGTGGCAGTTGAGCAACGAAAGGGTGCTACAGCTGAACGATCTTTTTCAAGTTGAACCGTTTTTGTTGGAGTCATTCATTAACACGGAAACAACAGGATAACGCTATCAGACTGGTCTCGTTTGAGCTACCTCGATTTCTTGGCTGGGACGTTCAAGATGGTAAATGACTGTGGCGGAAATTGCACTGTGTTATGTTTTCAGCCGCTTGTAGCTGACGCGCCCCCACATGCATATGATCTGCATGGCTACGCCCAAAATTAGTCAGTCAGCTGATTGTCTGGGTCGCCCAAACTCTGTAGAATCGAGCACATCGTCATCAAATCGACCACTTTCTTCTAGTCGTTGTAGGTATTATTATGATAGCTCACTCCCTGCGTATCCCGCACGGAAACATACTTAATTGGTTCCAAGTACAACCAGCATGCCTGCTCTCAGGCGCCTACATTTTGGATGGCCTCGTATGTTTATCTTGTATCTCTGTGGTCAAGCCAGTCCTTTTTCATAAGCTTTTCTCGGGGGGTTTCGATCTCCATCAGTGCAGAGCGTCTTTTCTGGAAAGAACAGCTCTTAGGATAAAATAGGCTGGTTTGTTGTCGACAAAAATGTCTCATGGACTGCACCCATGTGTTTTAAGGATGCCTTTGCCCTTCGTTCCTCTCTCAATGTTTAGGTGGTGTCATTCCATCTATAGATAACGTATGCATGCCAATTAAAATCAGCTCCATCCAGTCCCGGAACTTTTTTTCAAGTTGTCTTCCGTCATCGGCCATCGTGCGGTTTAGAATGACAGGATTATTTGATATTGCACTTATTTAGATGAGGTTCACACCTAATTTATGTTGTTTATCGTGAACCATTTGACTACAATTGATGCTGGTACATTTTGTGCTTACGTGGTCACAGCCAGTTGCAGTAACGATGCTCCTTAGCCGTAATTTGAAGCTACTGGAATCAAATGAGTAGCTTCATCCAGATGCTTCGAAATTAAAGCAAGCCTATTCGGAATTTGGGCTGTGCCGAATAAGTGAAGTGCATCCAGCTACCGGCAGGACCATTCTGTTATCTCTCTTTTTCTTCAGTGTGTCTTCTGTCATTACAGATTCGCATAACCACAGGGCGCAATATGTTACGAAAGTTACATAGTTTAATTTCAGTAGGAGTGCCGCACACAAATTGAACCAGAAGGTAATGGAATCGTAGTACGTACCTCTTGGAACAGCCTGGTTAGGGACCGTTTTGACAACTCTACGAGAGGGATCTCCTAAAATAAGAAATCACTAGTTATTAACCAGCCCTGATGTTGCTTCTTTATTACCCTCAGACCAGCGAGTTATGGTATGTTGCGTTTAATACTTCGAAACACGAAATACCGCTTTTCCCGAGATGGTAAATGGACCAAGAAATTGCGCAATAGCTGTGCTAAACTCCACAGTAGACGACGATTAGCCCACGTGTTTTGGCTGAGGATACTTGAAAGACATGATATCAACGTATGCATTACGCTAGAGCTCTTCAGGTTTATTGACGAAGCTATTCATTTTTTTCTCACGAACGGTAAACTACACTTTTGTAGTCGGTACCCCACAGTTTTCATGCTTTGGCCCTATTGAACGTGATACTGTGAACGTTTTTTGAAGTTATTGAACCTTCTTCAACTTTTTCTATCTAATTGTCTGGGTAATGTGTCCGCATAATCGTGACTGTCCTCATATTTTGCTGCATCATTTCCGTTCATTTTGCCGGTCTAGGTCATCCGGTGAAAATACTTATCTACGAGGTAAGTGTCAGTACATTTTTTTTCGAGTGCCTTCCCGTTTGAACACGAGTAGCGAACTGACGACGGTCCAGACGGGTCATCCCAGTTTTGTGTATGACAGAATAAGCACAACTAAAGCGTATGAAAGGTTGTCGGAGGGTTCAAAGCTGGATACTCACCACTTCATATGATGCAAGTGATATTTTTGGATGAATCATAAGCGAGTTAAATCGTTTTGGTGGAATGAGTGGCATATACCAGCAGCGACGTGGATGTTGGGCTTATCCTGATCGATTGTTTGAAACCCGGTAGTCCATTTAGTATATTCCGGGTTAGTTGTGGTAGTCTTTTTTACCAACCCCCTAAGGATCGTGCTCCTTCATGATTCTGAAGCACGAGGGCTGGGATATTGCCAGGTTGCTAAGCATAGACAGTGCCTTCCCGTTTGAACACGAGTAGCGAACTGACGACGGTCCAGACGGGTCATCCCAGTTTTGTGTATGACAGAATAAGCACAACTAAAGCGTATGAAAGGTTGTCGGAGGGTTCAAAGCTGGATACTCACCACTTCATATGATGCAAGTGATATTTTTGGATGAATCATAAGCGAGTTAAATCGTTTTGGTGGAATGAGTGGCATATACCAGCAGCGACGTGGATGTTGGGCTTATCCTGATCGATTGTTTGAAACCCGGTAGTCCATTTAGTATATTCCGGGTTAGTTGTGGTAGTCTTTTTTACCAACCCCCTAAGGATCGTGCTCCTTCATGATTCTGAAGCACGAGGGCTGGGATATTGCCAGGTTGCTCAAGCATAGACAAGGGTAAGTCGAGAAGCAGAGGCCGGTTTCGAACCGCGGATCTTCCGGTCAGCTCTAACCACTGAGCCATTAACGAATGATTATTGAAGACTCGGACCAGCAAATTGTCCCTTAGGTTATATCAGTAATATTATTTGTATCAGTGTTATCATCTTTATTTTCCTCTGTGATTGCATACTTTCGGTGACAAAAGTTCCTTCCTTTGCTAAGTATCCGACTGATGCCATGGTATTGCAGAGCTCTCCCTATACGATCGATTTAGAATAAAACTCGCATGTTTTTTTTTACCTTATCTTAATTGCTTTTCTTGGATTGTGGGAATACGGTTATTCCCTGTTGAAATTTTTTTTCCGGATCACAAACTCACCCAATATTTTGTCCTTTAGATCTCCTTTGGACGGTTCTGTGTCCTGCATTCAAGGAATATATCGAACGAAAGAAAGATCACCCGAGGAGATTGTCCGAATCAATAGTACGAGAGCTCTCTGCTCTAGCCTTCGATTTTGTCCACCTGTCACTCCTGGATTTGGTGGTCAAGGCTAATAAGTAAGTAACCGGGTTATTGATGGTCCTATCTGATTAGCAAATGAACACACCCATTCTCAACAACCCAGGCTCTTCCGGAACTCCCTAAGCACAGTGTCACAGGTCATAGGAGTTGTTGCATTCTAGTATGATGCTGGTCATCCTAGTTGATTCAAAAAAAGTCGTTGAGCATGAACATGAAACAATGTTGTAGATGCTTTGACCGAACGAGAATCATACTGACCGCAACGGAAAACGATGTTCCAATGCTCTCGTACGAATGAGGTTTACAAGAGAAGTTGGTTCCATGATCAGAGACCTGTTACCAAGATGCACAACTACCAAGCAAGCAACATGACTCGGTTCCCACAGGAACTTGCTAATTCTCCTTTGCGAAATTCGGCATTATGAGGTAGGAGAGTCATTCGGTGCAAAAAGGGAAAAGCAAAGAGATCAGTCGGGCACTGAGGTATACCAATTTAGCAAGCGTGACTGAATGATTAGGGATGGATGTCCGAAAACCGAGTTTCTTTTAAATCCAGGTTTTATTTGCACTCGCTCTTCCTCCACTGAATGTTGCTCTGTTCTCTGTTCAGTAGGTTGCATTTCCCCGATTAAGAATTGTCCAGGTTATCCATTCTGTGAAAATGTGTTCTAAAGCTTTCAGTTGTCCTCTTGGTCTAATATCTACTTAATTTTCGTTGCCATCGCATCGAAACAGTGTTATTCCAATGAATATGCATCTATCCCATTATGGGGCCTAAATTATCTCTCATGCTCTGATCTAAGCCTAGACTTTATATTCGTGCGGACTAAATGAAAACAGCTCAACTCATCGTTTGTATTGATTTCCTCATTCGCATGTATAACCGTTGCACGTGATTTCTGACCGGTCACCCTAGGACTTTATAAAGTTTTACACAAAATGAAAAAAGAGGGAGAGCAAGATTACTTCACTAAATTCGTTCCCAATTCAATTCTGCCGAAGTCTTTAGCTTTGTCGAATACAGTTTTCATGGAGTTTTGATTCTTACCCTAATACCCTACACTATATGAATTCTATATCTAGCCGCGATATTGACCCTTAATAGTGAAAGACAGGTGGCAATACTAGAAGGCGTATTGTAACGTGCTTTGGAGCGATCGATTTTATATCATAAGGAACATTCTTTGGTTTGCTCCGGGTCCCATTAGTGAGAAGCACAAATTGCTTGGCACAGCAGGGTCCATTTCAGCAGACAAATAGAATGATCGACCAAGTGCGTGTTCAAATCACAGTAGCAACGTACCCTCAGGGTAGACAGCTTGTATTTTTTTCGCCATTTTTGTACGTATAACAATATGCACTCTTCAGGATTGCAATGCACTGTTATGGTGCTACTTTTTCGGGCAACTGATGTGGGCTCCTTATACCTGTGTATTTGGAGACGGGATGAGATTCAGCAACAGAAGAATGTTGCAAATGTCCTTAAGTATGTTATATACTACGAAATGAGTACCGCAGCCTGAAGACGGAAATGATCACTGCCATTATTGTTCTCTCTCTCTTTCTGTTTACTTCTCTATTGGTAATGTGTTTGGATATTGGTAGCTCGGGTGCACGCTCAGTGCGCTGGTGTCTCCTGGACACGGTGACGAAACGTTCGCAAATCAATTGGCAAGCTCGGCCATTTACCAATTACTTTTCTATTTCAAATGCGCCAAGGGTAGTTACAAGCGTGACTGATTTTTTGTTTGTATCGTCCAACCTGGGAGTGGCATATTACCTGAATTCTGAATTTTACAGATACAGAGCCTCTTACTACATCCGGAGATATACCTGATGAACGAACAATTTGGAAGATTTGCAATGAAATGAGTGGTGACTAAATAATAACTAACTAAATTCAGAGTCATCTTAGCGTGTTCTTCCTTGGGTCACTAGGTTCATTGTTCTTGTGGTTTGATGTCTGGAACAGAATAGCACGCAATTGTTTTTTTAGTTAAGGGCTTTGTCAAAACTTTCAACAGCGAGCACCATCGAAAACGAATCCGCGTCTTATGTCCTTCCGACCGTTTGGTATTCAAATTTATTCCCGTCTTCTCACGGACGATAACCAAGGTCCACTGGATATATATATATATATGATATACATGATATATTGTCGTTTCAGCACCCGTTGACGTCGATTCTCGTGTGAGTAGATCGCTCATACGTGTGTGCTTTTCACCGATATTCTTCAGTTATGTATAGTTTCACAACTGCCATACAGTTCAATAATCACCCTAGTGTCTTGTGATTTGCTTCATTTCCACATCGATTGTAGCAACGTATCACGCGGCACTGAGCATCCTTTGGATCTTCTTGAGTTTTTTGCATTGGATCCAAGAGTGGAGTTTACGTAAGTCCATATGTGAACCTGCCTCCTCTGATTTGACTGTTTGGTTAACCAGGTCACAACTGATTGTGATGAGGTAATATGCGGTTTAAATATGCATCTGTTTGGAACTGATGAATATACGTTAAGTATGACAAGGTGAATTCTCTGAGTTGCTATGAGCGCTCCACTACTTATAAGTTCACGTTGGGGCATAACCCCCTGATGTTGTTGCGCCCTCTCTCTGAAATTGAGCTAACCCTTTAGGTTTTGATACATTTCGTAGATTTTTACTGTTTGATTCAGTATGACAACTGGTTGTTCTCGTTTGACAACTCCCACGACGTACAGATAACGAGCTATTGCATCAGGATCTCCGGGTAACCCAAGTATCCTAAGTTGTTTGAGTTGCATGACCGAAGTGGGGTCTTTTATGTGCGTTTCGGAGACAGGAAATACACTGACAGAATGAGGAAGCAAAGTTTCAGCAAAAGATGTCCGTTGCCCAATTTGACTGAGTGTACGGACGTTGGAAGCGGTACCGTGGAACACATATTTTGAGTTTCGAATGGGATTATTTTGGCTTACTTTACTGGGCAATAGTTTAGACACGAAGCAATCCTTATGGACCATTTGAAAAGTGGTTGAAGGATGCGGTTTAAGGTCGGCGAACGTAGAACTGTAAGCTCATTTAATACTTCACGATTGCCAATGCCGCTTAGTAGGGTGCCACACCTTGAACCTTCGACCCAAGGGTCTGACCCGCAAAACAATTGGAGAATGTAGGGCTTTGTTCCGGTGGACTGTGACCCAACCGTCTTGCCCACTAGGTAATGGTTAATAGGATTTACTCGGAGATCCTGCTGGGAGCCAGTGACTTAATATTCTGACCGGTTTGGCTTCGAGAAGCTGACCCAGTCCGGAGGCTCAGGAATTAAGGCATAGATGTCTTATTCCTGACGCTGCAGCGCATAACAGATGCGCTTGCAGGCGCGTCGTGTTCTTGGCAGGTTTTAATCGTATTTCGATTGTATCAGATAATTCGCTGGCGGTCACCATCAACCCTTGGGCTACCGGAGTCAGCGCTTTCGAGGACCAATCTGTCTTGATCCATCCTTCTTCCGTGAAAGGTTGCATTACTTCATCCGCAAATGCCCAACGACTAAATAACGTTGCCGTGCGCCTTCAACGCAAAAACTACGGTTGGAAGAATGAATATCACCAAAGCCGGTAATGGCGTCAGAACCTCTGGAGGGTGGACAGGTTTACTTACCTGGCTAGTATCATCACGTCATATGACAATATTACCGATGAAGTAAATGCTAGAGTTGCTAGGGGCCCTTGCCGCTTTACTTGAACTTGAGCATCCCCTGAATAACGTCTTTTGGTAGGAGTTGTGTCTACAACGCAGCAGTGCGATTGTGAAAACTAGCCACTTTGTCTTATGGAAGACTACCCGTGTTTGGCCATTAGTGCCTTCGAAGCGTCACACCTATCACCGGATTAGCAAAGCTGAAGTGCAACGAATGGTTTTTGACAACAGATCAGCTTCATTCAAGCTTAGCATATCATGAAGGGTATTTTTAGACTCCCCTGATGATGAAGTATGATGTCCAGTTATGGAAGCTACCGTACGACACCCTTCTGAAGCCGACTCATCCTGGTTGAAAATAACCGTAAGTGTTTAGTATAAGAAGGCGTTGAACTCCAGTTCAGTCCTATCCTAATGTGTTCTCAATACACCTTCGACTCGGATGACATCGGGTTTTCTCCAAATCGATCCTGTGTTCGGCGTATTCCGCACAGAACAAATTGAAATACAGACCTACCAGATAGATTATATCCGAACATTTGCCTCCTCGTTGAACTTTGTATTAAATTGCATAGGTCTACTTATATCGCATCATCGTACTTTATATGACTGGTGTATTTCTCCTTTCTAATCCAACTTTTAGTGTGCGCTTTGCTTTTGTGGGAATTTGCTTTGCCGCTCCTGACTCGCTTAAGGCGATCCTTCAGTCTGTTACACTGTTTGATTCGGACGTCCAAGGTGCCGCTTGGCGCTTGCTTACCCTCTGGCTCGCCTACTGTCTTTTGGTTCGACCGGCAATGGAGGATCGAGCACAAAATCATTTAAATTCTTTTGAACATCTGTCAGCCGTCGGTAGCCAGATGTCAACTTACTTCCCAACTGATTTGGCCGGCCTTTTCGGGGACGTTGATGCTGAAATGACATTGTTAAACCTCGGGGCCAAATTCGATCAACTCGATGTGAGTGTAATTCATTCTATCTGTATGTAGGCCTCCAAGTCAATTTACAGTGGCTGACCTTTCGAGTAAGAGGATTAGCTTGTTTGATAAACTCTAGCAGCCCCGCTGGAACTGCAGTGAACCAATGACCATTCGTGAAGAGCCCACTGTGTAGTGCTGGTCTCAGTGTTGTGCACGCACTTGTGTGTAGTATTTTCATGCAGGTATGGAAGTCTAAAAAATCTGTTCGATACTGTTCTCGCATCTTCACTTCGACCGAAGCATTTTCCACTCTCAGTACAACCTATTATTCCAGGCTAATTGCCAGCAATGTCATGCTACGGTTGCCTTGATTTACTACCCCGCCTGCGTATATCTTGTTGCCCCGTACTCTCATTTCACCGTTGGTATCGTTTATTACGCTTATGATATTTTTCAACTGAATGTGCTGCACGAAGATTCAGTTGAGTCTTCCGTGAAAACCAAATAGATTAGCTAATGAGGGATTTAACGAAATCAGTTCAATCTGGGTTCAAGTAGAATATTAGGTTGACGGAAACTCGGGGACTCCGCCCACTTGATAAGGCCCAAGAAGAGCGAGGCCGGTCGTGGTCTGTCGAAGAGTTTTCAGCAACCTTGTGAGTAGTTTCCTTTACTTTCTATTGTGTTATGCGCATAGCCTCATGGAAGATTAACTAAAGGGTCCATTACTCATCACGATAAAATACGAAGTTTTATTGATGTCAATGAGATTATCATAGTGGATTTAACGCTTGAATTGCAATCTGTCCGGAAACCAGTGTTCTGGTCTATCCGGTTCATGAGGGGAACTAAGCCCCCTGAAAAGCCGCTCACTCGTTGTCGGAAACGGACTGTCGCGAATTCCTATGGATTATCTGTGAATTTGCTGACATTTATGTATCAGGTTTCTTGTTCCTCTCGCCGTTTGTTTGACCAATCGACATCAACATGAGCTCTAGATGAGGGTACCCTATCATCCTTGGAATTTCGATTTTATTTGTCTGACACTCGATCACAGTAGAACACTATTCCTCCAGCGCATGTTGAATTAGCTCGAACAAGATCGTAAACCTGTTCACCGTTGAGTCACATATATGTTGTCGGAAGACTTCAGTAATCAAACTTGTCACTTCCATCGGCGAACTCGCATACCCCAGCTAATACATGCGCGTTCGTATGTCCGTGTGTAGCAACTTCGGTCGAGTAAATATTTTTGTCTACAGGACTTAACACTGGGAGTATTGAATGAGCACACATCTGGTCTTGGCCTATCATAGTGCGACTGCCGGATGAAAGTCTACCTTGAGTTCAGTGCAGCTTGGTTAATTTGGTTGCAGCAGTAATGAAGCGAAACATTTTCAACCGTTGATTGGAAAGTATTGCTCTCAATCGCCGAAAGCCTCGAAAATGTAGTTTGCACGAAACCCTAAACCGACAGGCATAGTGCATGTGCCGAAAATCAGTACAATGGCCGTTAACATTGGTACATTCTCACTCGCAAACGATTCCCGGCTTTTTAAACCCTTATGTAGACTCTCTCTAGCTGTCTATGAGCTCCGATTTAACATTCCCCAACAAAATCCTTTTGGAAGCAAGTCACTTACTTTGGATGTAACCTGACTGACACCTCGTAAATTGACCTGAGTGCACCAATCTCGGTTATAGGTCGCAAAATTTAAATCATTTAGTATTATTTTTTCATGGGCTTTCCCGTCGTACGCAGTAGGACCACTTTTTCGTAGGTGAAACGAGCAGGAACAGCTACAATTAAGAGTTCCATACATTTACTTGTGACACAAATCTAAAGTGTTGTTCAATCAGTCATCTCGTGTGAATAATCAGAGAACTGTCTTCTGCCTCGTCATCCCATTTATCTCTTTCCCAATAGAGTAGGTGACTTTATTATACTATACCATACCATACTATCGATTGCGATCTGTCGACACAAATAACTTTCTTCTCAGCCGTTCTGTTCACCACTGCAAATGCAGATTATTAAGAGAGTACACCGGGCGAGACGGCTGAGTGGTTAGAACGCGAATTTACTTAATTGAAGGTTCGTGGTTCGAACCCGACCTCTGCCTCTCGACTTCCCCTGTCTAGGATTGGACAACCCGGCAGTATCCCAGCCCTCAGGACCAAAAGGGGGCTACAGATGAACGATTAGGGTGCACCGGGTCTCTTTGATTGCGCCTTCCCGAACAATGGCCTTTGGCCGTTGGGTATTTGCTCCTTAGTGATGAAACCAGCGCCCGTGTGTTATATGGTCGCCTCTGGATATCAGGAGCGCCTTCCCTGTAATGAGTGTACTCACTTTATCAAGCTATCTGCGACAAGTAAATCAAGTACCACGAACTGTTAAAGCTACGACTTGGTGCAGTCCTTATTACAGCGACGTTTGACTGAGCTACCTTCGTGTCTCACATGGCTGAGCGGTTAAGACGCGAGACTGCTGACTGGAAGGTACGTGGTTCAGAACCAGTCCTGGTTTTTCGATTGCTCCTTTCTAAACTTGGGCGACCCGGCAGTATTTCAGCTATCGTGCTTCCTTCGATTTTCACGGAAGCTGTGCTTCGAAATGGTGTCACATCTGAATGATGTGGTGATGCGTGTAAGTGAGAAATGCACTTCATGTAGATTTGCCACTAAAACATGTTGAAATGGGATCTTCTGTCTCCTCGCGCATATATCACCTACATTCACAGAACATACCCGAACTAATACGATTGGGAAGTCTCCCTCAAGTCTTCTCAGGGCTCAAAACACAGTCCACTGTTGAACTATCAGTCATAAGTCAGGCCAACCATCTAACCGTAAAGAGGGCACATAACAGTATGGTATCGCTGTGCTATTCAGAACTGTAGTGCTTTTCAGTATTCAGAACAATATGCACAAACATAAAATCACACAACCTAGTCTCTCATAAATATTTGTACAACGTTTAAACATCAATAGAACTCAAACTTGTTGTGTTCACCAATGTGACTTTCACATCGTTCACAGGAAACTGAAGATTGCGCATCAGCGCGTATTCCCAGAATGTCCCTCAGCCGGTTCCCACAGTCTACCCACCCGTTATGCAAATAATGCACCTGCTTTAGAACCTGGGACCCAGTCATTATTGGAACTGGGTTTAGCCTTGACGGCGGTTTTGGTGAATATCAAAAGAGAGAGGTGACTGCTTGATTGTGCAGTTTCAGAGTCATGACGAGTGCCCTACACCCTTTGGTTTTATTAGGGCAAGTATTGGATACTACCTGTGTGTCTACAATCGTCTCTGCCTATGCCCCCTCAGCACCCGACATTTGTACACCATCACATCCTTCTTACTTTCCATAAAGTACGTAGCATATGGTTCTAATAGAAAAAGAGGTTTATCGTCCTTTCCGTGCCACTTGTACTAGCCCAATGGCTAAACTGCTACAAGTTTATACTGATCTGGATAGGAACAATTGTTACGTCAGAAGTGAGGCTCGAATATCCTCTTCAGGAGTCCTTGTCTTAGCTCCGATCTGGACCAGTACACTAGTTTATGCCTGTCTGTCTAACTGCTGTCGGTCTACTTTGTCAAGACGAATCATGGTAGGGTTTACGGAACGAAGGGCTTGAATTTTTGCGCGTTTTCCTTTCATCTCCTTTTGTTTGATTGCCCATGTTCATTCCTCGTGTTCCCCGTGACAGACTTTTCAATCCAAGATGGTCTACAAGTCCCGAGTTGTCACACACCTCGCCAAGTTGTGCTCATTCATGTGCAACTGTTGCTCACCCTCTAGCACCGCCAAAGACGAGATGGCCGGTTTGGAATACTGTCAAATTCCTGGAATTACCCAAGAAACTTTGTGTTCTACGAGCTATAGGGCCGTATCCTTACTCATCCGTCACTGTTCTTCACTGCTCTACTCAACTGTGGTAACAAGCGGAATGAACTCTTCTCCTTTGGAGCAACTAATCAATAACTTCGTGCTGCCCAGGCAGCTATATGAATGGGACAAATTGCTTTGCAAGACTGTCCCCAGTCTGGACGGTAATCCGCTACAAACGATTGTGACAGAGTGCATGAAAGATCAGTTGTCTGAGGCAAGTCATTGTTTTAATTGGGGCTTTTCCGTGCGATTTTCAAACTATTCGTCTTCCACCCCACAAAAGTGCTGTGTACTATCAACCGCATCTTTATTGTTGGGGCACTGTAGCTAGACCCAGCTAACCGATCGCCTTCGAGACCGACGATTAGATGGCTATTTTCAAAGATGGCCAAAAACAGCTATTCAGAAACAACTTAATCTTTTTCCTCACCATTCGGGCAGGTACAGTGAAAGTTATTACACAGAAAACTGGAATTACAGAGGTCAGAAGTGCAAACTGCCTTTTGTTCCCTGTTTTCAATTAAGTTGGTGACTTCTGGTCGCAGCCTTGTTGACTCACCCCTAGTCGATGTGGGACGGAGTTTACTTGGATGTATACTTGAACCGACAGGATACTAGTGACCCTACCTGTAACCAAGCCCATCTAACATTGGGACTATCGTTTTAATTTTCTCGAATATTTGGGAACTGCGAAACCTGAGAATGACCTCAGCGGGCAGTCAAAAGTCGTTCAGTTCAAGTAATGCAAGAATCATCGGACGACCCAGTTACAACAATCAAACAAAACACTTTCCGAATGAACAAACGTTCCAAGGCTTACGAGTCGGAAGTGGTCAGTAGGTTTGAAATTTTACTGTACAGTCATCTTAAATTGGCTTTATTGCTGGCTTGCCGCTTCTACAACCAGTGGAATTCTGAACTTGCGTGAGGAAGCATCAGTTGACGGGAGCCCAGCAATACCATGTCACAGTACATAAACCATGTGATTCAAGGGTATGTAGCGTTGTGTTCTGTCAAATTCCAAGTTAAGACCTGATTTAATCGGCAAGTTGGGAGTTTGAGTCGTGAGGAGGTGAAATGGCTGTACTATGCTTCTCGGTTTCTCGAATTTCAAACGGCGCACTGATTTTCGACTTGGCGGAGTTGTCCAATAATATTGCCGAATTATTTCTAAACTCAGAGGAGATATTCGAGTCAATGCTGAATGTATGTGTGCCATTACTTACAGGGGGTTAGCTTATTTTTTCGTGTATCGATGCCATTACTCTTTGCTGAACCAAAGCCCTGGCTACAAAACAAAATATAGATAAATAATACTTTGTGTTAAGGTAGTGGGACCTAGTGCTGGTAGTGTGTAGTGTCCGATATCCTAACGGATTCCTTTGTGTATACTTTGGCCAATATTATGTCCCCTGTGTGTGCTCTCCGTCCAGCCTGAACATCCTCATAATTAGGTACAATGTCCAATTCTGCTGTTCTCAATTTTCACACGACATCCAATTTATTTGCTGACGTAACGGTAATTGCGCGTTTCATACAGTAATGGATGAACCCCCTGGTTAGAAAGCGCGATGATTTCCAGCTTTGTGCCGCGTAACAATATCTGCACGATGCGTGACCTTCCAAAGGTTGGCATCCACTAATTCCCGATCTTGTTAAGCCTTCCTCTTCTCGACCATTCCGCTTGTTCTGTATTAAAGTTGACATGCCTAAAACGTGTTTCTTAACAAAGCAATAAGCTATCGATTCTTTACTACACAGTTCACAATGGGCCTCGCACAACTATCCTGGCGAAGTGACGCGTACATTGGCCGAGTACTTCGGGATGTGATCAAACTATATTACATCCATTTAGACGGTGAATGCGTTGCAGTAAGTTTTATTTTATTGAATATTAACTCAATATATCTGCGTCTGCGTACCGGCTTTATTTCTGTTAGCTTACGTCAATCCAGCTAACCTTCGAGTTGCCCATTCACAATGGGTTCCCTCGACCTGGTAAAACTAATTCAGATCCGAATGTCTCGTCCCCGCGTTGATTGCTCAGTGAAACCCATCGCAGACTCTGGTCACTTAAGCAATAAGGCTATTGTGGTGACCAAATCAATCAACAGTTTGCACTATTCCCCGAGTTCATTTTTAGTCGAGCGTTCACATTTGCAATGTATCAAAGGGGTTTAGCGCTAACAAAAGTCGGGACCGAAACGGATCGTTTTCTCGCTTGAGCATCTCTTTCACTGTTGATGGTTAACCCGCTTACGGACTTAGGTTTGCCATCACTTGTGAGAAACTAGACCACGTATTCAGGTGGTCTGTCTTTTCACGAACCTACGATGTCACTTCGTTTTTTTCTTCAAATAAACGCATCGAATTGAACAGCATGTCACGAATTTTCGGCCGGTCACCTCACGTGACTGGACATTTGTGACATTCCTCAAAATGCCCCATCGTCACGTCATGGATGACGAAGACTTGTACTGACAACTCCAGCAAAGGTCAAAGGTCATTTTTGATTACCGATGTCGGAGTACGAACAAAATGGCTGCCGGATGTTACATTCAACTCCCATGGAACACATTAAACGTGATAAAATAGATCCTAAACCTACACAGCTTGTAAACTATGATACAACTAAGTCGATATCGGTTTATCCTGAACACACGTGAGTAACAAACTGGATATCGCCAACCCTGATGCAGTATGCCCCATCAACAAGCGATCTTACACCTCCAGGGGAAGTGTTCTTAAGCCATAAGGTACCTAAGAAAGAGAACTGCAACCATGCGTCCTGACATTGTTAGTATGTTAGTAGCATCACAATTATAGGCTTGGTGATGCCACAGATACCTAACTGGAGCCTCAGTGTACAGCAAAGTATCGTAGTTATCCTAGTGCCGGTTGATCGTCAACATTAGCCTGTATCTAATAAATGCAAAGAGATGTTCGCTGAACACTGATAATATTTATGATTCATGAAAATTGGATCGTCAGATTCTGTTCGAAGCATTCGGACTCCAAACACATTTTTAACGTAACTGTTGGATCGGTTTGGAAGAGCTCCGGGTGCTGCACTGAACCGCGTCTGGCTCTTCTTTCTCGACCCAGCGTGTACTGTGATCAGTTAAATCATACTAGTGCTACTTTTCTTGGTCACTCTTGCGTCCAAACAATTGAGCTATTTTTGGAATAGCCCTACGTTGTTCAACGCAGCAAAATATCTTCTCAGTGTAAACGGCTCCGTCTGGTCATTTAGGATACGCTAAGGGCTGCGATTTTTCACTGTCTTCCGAAGAAGACTATAAGCTGTGTACTACATTGATGTAGTTCGTCAAACAAACTTATTATGAATGTGCAGTCTGATAATTGCGCATTTTTCGAGCCCTATCTGATACGATCGATGGCAATCAATGATACCGCCGCAGATGTTCAGCACTTTTAGCCTAACCTCAATTACTGTTGGGAATGATGAGACGAGCCTTGGATACACCACCCCTAAAACAATTTCTAATACCCGTAGTTTTACTGTCTGAACTTCACCACGTCGGACGTTCTGTCACATTCGGAGTGTTTGTTCTCAAACTTACTCTATGTCAATAGGCCCTCGACTTTTGTGGTTATCCGTTAGTTTTCGTTGTCTGCTTCTTGCTCTCGATCACGTGGTAGACAATACAGTTGATGTGGGTGAACTGCAATTAAACTTCTTTGTAATGTACTACTCATAAGGTTGCTGAAATCCGCCATGTACCGTACATTACAAAGATATACATGTATCGCGATGTCTCGAATATCGTAGCGACTGAAACATGAGGCGGCCCGGTGCAGCACATTCAGTTGCCTGAAAACATCACAAACGAGAGATTCAGCTGGGTTCCAGGTGAGTCTCTCGAAAAAACCCAAATGAGTGTATATTCGTGTAATTCAACTTCGTTCACCAAACACAGTACATGCTTTCTGCTATGGGGATAACCTTTATCACATTTACCATTATCGGACTGTCTCATTTGACCGGCAATTTTTCCTGTGCGATCAATACGTTCCTCACGTCTGTTTATTTCTTTGTGTGTCTGCTTGTCTCATTGACCAATCATAGAGCGCCGTTCTGAATAGTCCTACAGCCGATTTTCGTGCCCATCTGCTTCATTTGTCTATGCAAGAGGCCGTGAACGAAGAAACTGCATCGGAGGTAGAACTGCAGCGCGATCAAGGTTCGGATTATCGAAAACGGAAAGCGTTGACAAAGGTGCGCTCGCAACCTAGCAGCTTGTCTTTTTTCGTTCAAGCCACGTGTTTAACGTTCGCCTTTGACTTATTACTTGTGAAGCGCGTGTCAACGCAACAAAGAAAGCATTGCTTTGGGCAAAATCACCTGGAAAAGTCGTTTTAACGTCGTTAACGTGTTTAACGTTCGCCTTTGACTTATTAATTGTGAAGCACGTGTCAACGCAACAAAAAAGCATTGCTTTGGGCAAAATCATCTGGAAAAGTCGTTTTAAGGTCGTTGGCTGCGGCGCCTTTGAATTTTATTCTCTTTATCTGTGTGCTACCAATGTAAGTGACCCTTCCTGTGGTCGTCCACCTTTCCTCCTGTGATCCACTTTGAATCATTACGCTAGTGTAGTTCCCGTAGCATACTTTTCCAAGTCATTCTAACGGGAACTTTCAGTCAGGCTGCTTTTCCAGCTGAAAGGCCAAAAATCGTGCTATTGATCACTGATTTTATGATGTGGTGTCGTTGGCTCAACCAGTCACGAAGAGACTGAACCTTACCGTGGTGTGACGGTAAGGTGAGAGCATTCCCTACCGAGGTTGTGCATCTTTAGCGTTCCCCTAACCAAGTGGACGGCAACATTAGAATTGTACTAAAGCATTCCCTACCAAACGCAGATGCACCGTTGTCCCTTCGGACGAAAACCACTCACGGGAAACGGCCTTAGTTTTGGAGTGTGGTTTCCCTGAAGGGATTAGTTGTACCGACTATACAAGCGAGTACTACGGCGTGTACCGCAGTGTTAACGTCAATGCCTTGAAGTGATTTTGTGAGCTCGCCTTTTTAAGGCCAAAACCTCCAAATGAGGCCGCCGTTATCACTTGGAACTATAAGTAACAGAGGAAATTAAGGGAGTCGTAAGTTTGGAAGACTACCGTCGTAAAAGTGCTCCTCCAAAGGGCAATAGAAATTTGCTTTTTGTCCAACCTTGTGTGTGTATAATTAAAATAGCTTGATGTACTATCCACCACAGAGCAAATTTATCATTCCAAAATGTCAGCAGGGCGAGGTGGCTCAGCGGTTAGAGCACGAATTTACTGACCCGAAGGTCCGTGGTTCAAACCCGATCTCTGCCTCTTGACTTTCCCCATCTAAGCTTGAGCATCTTAGCCCCCGTGCTTCCTTCTGGTGGCATGGCGGTTAGGCACCAAAAGGGTGCTACAGCTGAACAACTTTTTTATGATCAACAGGGTTTGGCTGGCCACCAGTCCTGTGATTGATCACATGGATAAATCAGTTCAAGGAAGGTATTCAGACAGTTTAAATTCTCTGGAACATAGATGAATGCGTATTTAGGTGCGGGAAAGGCAGGACGGATGATTCAACAGTACGAATTAAACAGTTTGACGTCTAAATATCGACTGGTCAGTGTTGATTACACTGATTTCTCTGTGGCGGCCCCTCCTAGAAGGGATAAAGATTTCAGCCATTATGGCCCTCAGAAACATTACAGCATGCAAATTTGACCAATACGACAATGCACCTGTTCTCGGATTGGTCTGTCACATCGAGCTACGTACGTCATAGTGCCGAATGGGACTTGCGGTAAGGCGTATGTGCATTTACCTAACGCCCGTTTTTAACTTGCAGGAATGTAACCGGATGTTAAACAAGTAGAAGCAGTTCTAGAGCCATTGGCATACCCAACTACTGGTCCATACTTGTTTAGTGTGGACAGCTGAACAGTTGAGACAGCGCATGTGAAAGGCAATCTGGCGACCCACGTCACTCAGGAGGCGCACACATACGTGACCAACCAGCACTAGCGATGATACTGTTTGGTCTTTGCAACCGTAGTCACACAGGGTCACCATTATTGGTTTAACACTCCGGAATGTCCGGTCTTATTGCACGTATTTACAGATGTGCACAGGAGATATACGGAAACCCGAACTCACTACAGTACAATATAACACAACATATATAGGCCAAGTGTGCGAAAGCGGTGAAAACAATATACAGCCTGGCAACCCAAACCAGAAACCCTCGATCGGCAATCATTTTTGACCCTCTTGGGTTTCACGTGTGGAGGCAACTAAACAGTCAGAACTTACAGCAGATGCAAAAGATCGCCTGGTGACCCGCAACCTTCGTGAAATGTACAAATGGCTAGCAACTGCCAACCACTACTAGACTTGGTCCATACAGCTTTGCTTCCGATTTGAGATGGCCTTCCAGACGGTGCTGGATCGGTACGTCATCCTCGGAATCGCAAAACGTCTCCTCACAAATCGTGATCAGATGAAAATCGAGCATGGTGGAAACTACAACGCCAGCTCGCTTCACTCCTGTGCCTACTTCCAGCTGGACACATTTGGTTCCACATGTACGTGCCGGGTCTTCCAAACCTAACGAAAAGATTTGATATTTTTTCCGGGTAGGTTTTGAGGAACGATCCACAAGGCCCCTCCGTGTAGAGGTCTTCGTGAAATCCGTGAACAGTTGGTTCCGTTGTCGTCATTGTTCTTGCAGCTAACGTGCTGAAAAGAGACGGCTTATCATTCTACATCCCTATGATATCTTAGGGACATACCAAGCTTTTCTGTGCAATCAGGAGAATACTGCGTAGTCAATGACTTTCCACTTTCTGTTTACTTCCATCTGTATGTTTATATCATCCTTGAATTGTCGTGGGACAGTTTTAGTTCTCCGGGTTGTGCAAATCCGGTGAAAAACTTCATTCTCCACTATTTCCCAGTCCACCTGAAATACTTCGGCACATGGTCGTGCTTTTACCTTAGAATTTCTGTTTTGCAGTTCAGTTGTCGCTGTTGGAAGTACCGTCTTTGTAAGTAAATTGGAGGGGTCCATAGTCGCTAGAGTTTGAAATAGCTGGACGTCAGTGTTCAAATCTGGTGTGTACGTTAAGCAAGAAAATGCGCCTTCTGAGCAGCTAACGTCTACAGAATTGTTGAACTTCTGACCTTTCCGGGTTTCGTGAGTGTATTATAGTTACTGCACTTAGCCCATGAACTTCTTTTACTGCCTCGGTTAATTCCTTCGTCCTGTATAAGATCGTATTTCGTCTCGTTTTAGCCACAATCTACCCTCCAATTCTCGTAGATAATTCAATATTGTGGTCTTCGCCTCTCAAAGCTCCTCTCAAGCCAATGCACGTGACGGATGCAAGTTGCATTCTTCTTGTCGTGCCCTCCTCTTTCGAATTCGAGATAGTTCACTCGCGGTCGTTCTTCCAGCGTCCTTTATTCTAGTCTATAGTTCTTCTAGTGTGCGGTACCTTTTCAGTGGACCGCATGTGATATTGCTCGTCACATTGATTGATCGAACAGCTGCTTGATATCGAATTCGATCGATACCAGCCGACGGAGAGGCTTGTCCGGGCCCAAAAGTGCTTCGGATCACACCAGTCGATGGTCCATGCTGCAGTCGGTGACACTCGGGAAGATTCGTAGACAGTTATCTTGGTTTATCTAGAGTTATGCGTTCTCGGTTGTGCAAAATCAAGTGTTCCCTTAAAAGCAGTGATCGGCTGACGCGTAACCGTTTCAACGACCCTCTAACTTATATGGAGGGGTTTAATTTAAAAAGGCTTCTTTTTTCACTGGATCGCTGTGTGGCTTCACATAATTGTTCATCCGTCTCATGTGTAGCACCAGGAATTTCTCTGCTTAGCCATTTCCATCAGGGTTTTTTTTAAATAAATTGCAGTTCTGCATCTAGCATGTCATCTATACATGTTCTGTTGTCTTTTTTGCCAGAACTCTTCACTGTGTTTCGTTTTCATTTCATCTCAACGAAATTTTGGAAGTCTGTATATTAGCCGAACCAGGATGCTCGTTTTCCGTTTTCAAGCTAGCGTGACATCCAAAGAGTGCAGATTATCATTAATTCCTTCTCCGCTTTGAAGCGCAATGCCGTATGTGCCGAATCAAACTTTTGAGTTAGCTTCTCAACTGCACTATCTGGACCATGCATGATACAAACGTCGTCAACATAGCGTTTGTAGAACTAAGTAAACCTCGACAGTCAGCTTTAGTTCGGAACGGTCCAGTTATTCCTTTCCCTGTCTGTCGTAACAGATTTGAGCGCCGAATTCACCCCCTGAGGAACAGACCATCAGTTGGCTGAACGGATAAACGGAACCGAGAGTTGACAATTGCTCGTAGAATTCTGCCTGTTCAGCCTTTCAATGAAGCATCAGGGGACGCATACACTGACAAAAGTGACGAATAGTCCTCTCGACATCCGAAGCCAGATAGCTTATCGTCCTCGCAATTATGCAGCTCGTCTAATATTCTTCCGCTCCTGTGACCAGCGAATGTAAATCCTAATCTATATTCCCGCCTGTTTTGTTAGTTCTCAAATCAGTATTATTGGTAGACAAGACCTTGTGAGTTTGCTTGATCGACCGGCCAAGTTGCGCGACGGCAGCTAGGTCAATACAACGACGTTTCGGTAACCTGGCAACAAAAACTGTACATCTTCGGGGTCTCCTGTTTCGCGTTTTGTCACTGGGTCTTCTAACGTTCCAGGTTCCGTGTCGAAGTTGACATATCGTCAGTTTTCCCTGATTGTGGTCGGTAACTAGCCCATTTTGCAGCCTTCTGTTCTTCTCAGCTCTTCCTGATCGTTTGACTCAATGATCTGAACCATAGTCCGACGGCCCATCTCCTTGTTTTGAATTAGTTTCTTTAAGGCAAAAGAGAACAGGAGTAGATATCATTTCCACCTTCATCGTGTCCTTGATCAGTAGCTTAACGTGGCTATAACAGAAATCGAAATCAAAGTAAGTGTATCCCTCGGTTTACAGAGATCACTTTCGGTCAGCCAAGTTTTTGGTGTTTTCATTGAATAACCTTCGCACAAACCCTACTCACTCAACCCCCATTGCCCGCAGGGTACTGAAACAATTTACCGGGCGTTGTATGAGAGAAAGTTATTGTCTCCCATGACCATTGGTACGATATGTCATCAAGAACACAAATTTGACAGTATTTGTAGGCAATGTTTTTCTTGTTATCAATTGAAGGATAACGTCCATAAGCATCACTGTGTATATTTACTCGCTATTTGTCGTTTACAGTGGTTAAAATTTGGCAAGTTAGTGCACGAAGGGACACATTCGCTTGAGGGACTGCAAAGGTGAGTTTATCATTCTTCTGTATCCTGAGTCCGATGCAATGAATTCATACTCAGTTGATAATTCAGTTTAACCGTCAGTTCGAGACGCGGTACATCTCAGCACCTATTTATTTAGCGTATTCAGCGAGGATGTATCACACAGTTCTCTATCCGACGACGGACGGATGTTCTGGCAATTGGTTGGACAACACCAAACTTTAGGGGCTGCCCGCAGACCAAGTCGTTGTTTTATGGAGCGTGAATTCACGTGAAACAGATTACCTCGGTTATTAGCAGTTTGTGAACAGTAGACCGCTTTGCTGCCCTTTCTTATTAGTTTCGATCATAGCAGATGACGCCCTGATGTGAGCAGTATTCAGCAAACAATTGGTACTGATGTATTTCTGGATGATATCCGCTGTTCGAGCATACTGTTTTAGGATTCTTTGGATTACCAAGTACTTTTTCTTGTTTATTTATTTAGGGATGCCCCGTTTATCATTGCACCAATTTCGCTCTTTATGAAAGAATCTGACTTCGAGGAATGGGCAACACGCGACATCCGGATGGAATGCAGCCTTCTTCTGGATACCTACCGCCAAGCAGTCAGTGTAATCAGCGCTACAGAAGTCAGGTACAGTGTTGCTCAATGACACCCTCTACACTACAGTCATCAGTCAGGGGAAATAAGACGTCCATTATGAATTATTATCACCCCTGTAGCATATTATGACCTCTATCTGATGCCTTTCTCTGTGGCGGGTCTCTCTCTCTAGTAAGATCGCGCAGCTGCACACACGGCTATTGCTTTCATCCACAGTACGACTACCTCTCTCATGCGACCTGATGTTTCGAAATCGTCTTGGTTAATGAATACCGTATTGTTGAATTCGCCTGTATTCTTTCGATGCCCTTGTAGAGAGATGTATTCTTGTGCCACTTAGTCTGTGAGACATTCCTCTTGTTGCCTGGTTCGGTATACATCCCGTCCACGGTGGAGCTTCGCTGTGGCCACAAGGGCTCTGTATCGAAGGCTTAGTGTACAGCCGAATTTAGTTTTCGCTGCAACGAATTAACCACGATAGCTGATTCCAATTTCGTAGTATTCATTGTTGGAGGCTCTGCTGTGCTTACGCCTTATGTAGATCGACCAGCTCAATTGTCGAAGAGGAGAGGAAGGCGCATGTGTTTTCGGATGGACTGACCAAAGTCATCTCGCCCTTTAGCATCCTCTTTGCACCCACAAAATGTACGACCCTGCTCATGGATATGAAGTCACTTAACACACCATTTACAATCCATGGAGAGACCCGACATTGTAGAGTGGTTTAAGTATCTTGGAATTTGTATCAGTTGTGGTTGTATTGTAACCTATGAGGTCAGCGTACGAATTTGCAAGGCTCGGGTCGCGTTTCCTAATTTGAGACACATTTGGTGTCAAAGCAGTATATACCTGAACCTCAAGAGATGTGTGTATCAGGCGGGTTGTTTTTGTTGTGACTTGGCCTGTTCGAGCAGCAGAACTAAGATATCTTCAGGTGTTCAACAACCGTTATCTGAGAACCATGGCTCGTGTGAGTTAGTGTCGGCGAATCCGTAACGGGGAAATTAGAGAGTTTTCGGTTGTGCGATGGGGACTTCCACTGACGAATGTGTCCAGGACCAGAAGCTGCGTTGTTTAGGCCACGTATCGCGTATGCAAAACCATCGTTTTCCGGAGTTTTCGGTTGTGCGACGGGGACTTCCACTGACGAATGTGTCCAGGACCAGAAGCTGCGTTGTTTAGGCCGCGTATTGCGTATGCAAAACCATTGTTTTCCGTGGCGGAAGCAGAGGTTGCCAACCGTTTACCGGACAAATAGGTATAAGAATAGAGTGGCGGAAGCAGAGAGGTTGCCAACCATATACCGGGCACATGGGTATAAAAGAGAATGTTTGAGTGCTGTCGATGCGAATGAGGACCGCTTGATCCTCACTGCGCCTGGTTGGAGGTGCTGCAAGATATGGCCACCAACCGATGTCAATGGCGTTCCTGATTGTCTGGAGCTGTAGGCACCTTGGAGTGATTGTGTTAGGTTAGCACTAAGTCCTTTCTATGTCCACTTTTATTCTTTTCCCCACAGTAAGGTTTTCAAATAGATTCTCGTCGTAAGGCAGCGAAGCATCAGTGTCACGGATGTCATGCTGTCGATGATGATGATGACGATGATTGACTGTTGAATTACTTGGTTCGGCTTTTTGGTTGTTCTCGACCGACTGGATTCTTACTGCACACTTCCTTTGGCATTGTGACGTTGTTACCCTTTACTTGATTCGTTGGTTCTCTTTTTATTCTTTTAGGAAGAATATCATAGAACAAACTGAAATTATCGGCCGATCTCGCCCATCCCTGTCTGGTTTATGTACTTTTCTTGGAATAAAACCGTCCTAAAAGAGCCACTTCATACCCATGGTTTCTGCCACCACAACAAGGTTAATACTGTGAATCTCTCTGGTTTGAAAAAAAATGTGCCGCTTGCTCTGATATACGTTACTGCTCGCGGAAACACTCGGGAGATCCCAGGATTTTCTCTCGTGAGGAGGGCTACCGCACCGAACACTGCGTAAGACATCACTTGTGTGTCGGACATGAAGACAGGATAATTTTCTAGTTCGTTTGAACTGAGTGTTCTAGATATCGGTCTCCGTCATGTAGATCATTACAACCCATTTTTCATCTGCCTAGACTCAAATAATAAACTTGTTCTGAAAACGATGCTGGCCCTCAATCGATAACACAACTGTGAAACGCTCTAACAAATTGTGCTTTGTGTGTATCCAAGGCTTAATTATGGGTAGTCAAGACTCCGTTGATGTGGCAAGGTGATGGATGTATTGGCCGTTCTTATGAAATTAGCCGTTTAAAGCGATAGCCTACTGATGATTCTTGGTAAGTGGCAGTGCTCCTCCATTTTGGTGTGCCCTTGATGCGTAAATCAGCCATTTAGGAAACCAAAGTGTCTCAGTCCTTGGAGATTTGCTTCCTCGAAGGTTGAATTACAATGTGAAAAACTCGGGTGTGCCGTCGGGGGGAATGGTGCTATACTGGTCTGGTGCGTATCGCTGAGATTATCATCATCATTATGGTGATGACTGTGTTGGCGCCCTTAAGTTGGTAATTTAGTACCCGTAACATACATGGTGATTTAGAATCATCTCGACTGCTAGTAATCAGAGTACCTTGTACCACTGACGGCGATTGGTCAGATGACTACACACAAGATCACCATACTTGCATTTCCGGTTGTGCGCTCATATTGATGGAAACTGACGTGTAGGGTGTCGGTGTTATCTGTAGGATATCATTAGTTGCTTGAATTGACCAGAATTACCCAAGAGGCCACCTTGGAACAGTTGCTCAGTGTCTCCTTTCCGCCTTTGGTTTGGTAAGCATGCCAGCAAGCCTGTGCGAGTAGCATTCGAAGAATTGTTCTTTCCTGCTGGTTCCTCGTGCAGCATATCTCACCGGCCACAAATCATGATTGTAGCCAGCTGATGAGAATTTGGCTAACCGTAGCTGGTTCACGGAACATTTGGGAGTTCAAACGGGTTGAGTGTCCTTCAAGATGGTGAAAAGTGAGTGCAAATTGTTGGTCTTAGTGAACGTATTGTATTGTAGCAGAAGTATGGTTTTTATTCTGCTTCTGAAGCCAAGAGTGCATCCGCTGCACAAGGTTTCAACTCGGACTGAATGCTTCCGGTACAGAATGGAGAAATATCACTAGAAGACTATCAGCTTAAAGAAATATTCCGGTTTGCTGAATTGATACGAATTGAAGGGAAATCCCACCAATAGAATAGCGCCCCACTTGCTCGACTATTCGTCGCATAAAGAGAGTCTTCCAAAAAGTGATCCTTAGAGTACTCTGGCAGTATTTGGAACACACGCCAACTACCTGTTTTGTGAAACGAATAATCTCATGGATAAAGCTGAATTTCCATGGTCAGTATAGAAATGGGTTGTGTTCCAAGCATTTAAACTGCAATAGAAGCCAGTGTTTCTAGTTCCTTGTGCGCCACAACACAAAATGATGGAAGTAGTTATGCTAGTGACCGAGCCCAAATAGGATTAACGCTTCCGATGAACGAAGTCGATCTACCACGAATGGTCATCATCATCATCATGGATAGTATGACATCAGTGTCTAGCACTGATACTTCGCTGGCGTACAACCACTATTTATTTAAAAGCCGTATTGTGAAGAAAAGAATAAAGGTGGACAGGAAAGGGAATTAGTGCTCGAAGGGCACCAACTACCACAGGCGAGTAATCTTCCTGACGAACGCAAACACTTGTGTTTAGCTTGTGTACAATTTTGTGATTTTCGCGATTGGAAACCACCACGGGCATCCGTTGATGCGTCATCGTTATAAATCCATCTCACCTACAGACCCCAGGGGTTTTCATTTGGAATGAAATCCGGATTGTGAGCGTATCACTCAGTGGTGTTGATGTGAATTAATGCGGTTAATTAATCCGGTGAGGTGTTCATGCTCAAACAACATGGTTGCCACGCAGTCCATGGGATCGAAGAGCAAGTTCACAATTTACGACCTGTTTCCCTCCTAGAGTTGCCGCTTCAGTTTTCCCATGTAGACCAAATTCCAAACGATCACAGAATTATTGTCATCAGCTGTACAGTGGTTCGACCTGTCAGTTTCGTTCACCGATGACTTGGTGGGGTGGGGTAGGTAGATGCGTATTGGAGGCGGTAGCTGATATAATTTATGCGTAAACACGGTTACCAAGCTGTTGCACTGAAGGCAACAGCTTGGATGCATGATCGTCATTGAGGGCGCGACTAGGCCATATTGGGCAATTTCTCTAATCATTGGTGTCCCGTTTTAGGGTCCCCATCCATGGAGATGGCAATGAACAGCGCAGACTAGCTTGTTGGTAATCGTTTTCACACTGCTGTCAAGTCATTTTTACCTTCCCTGGCTCGTTTCAACCCTTCACGTTGTTGCGCGAAAAGAGCCCTTCGAGGAAGTCGGTGTACTGGCATGCGGAGCACGTGACCAATTCAGCAAAACCCATGGTGTCATCAGTTCGACTATCGTGGGCGAGTTAGTTCTTCCGAAAACCATTCGACGTACCTCAGCATTACTGAACCGGTGTTCCCAACAGACTCAAACAATGCTCCAAAGATGTCCATGGTAAAAGCTAAAAGTCTTTCGACTAGGTTTCTGATCCACATAATAATATGGAGTGCACCACAACATTGTGAACCCGACCCTTGACGGATAAGCTGACATCACGCCTACGCCACAGGTGTTCACGAAAGCTCCTCTGACCTTCCCAATCCGGATGAAAATGTTTCCTTTGGTGAAACCACCGGAACCGATACCGCTGCCCAGGTAGACAAACTTGTCTACTGCCTCAGTCGGCTCATCCGCAAACATGAGCAAGGGTCACCAACCTACGATCCATTGACAGGGTTGGAATACAACGCTTAATATGGGATAAGGTAAACTGAACTTGCTTAGTCACGTGTTTATCCTGCAGTCATTAATAACTGTGAAAGATATGTGGATACTCTTCCCTCATGAAAAGAATTTTCTTGCATTCAGTTCATTCCATGGCATGCCTCAGATCACCACCATTTCGAAGTTTCGATTGATTTCCGTTTCTCTTAAGTATACTAACTATTTCCGTAGTTTATAAGAACACAGCAGTGCTTCCACTGGCTTCAACAGTTGCAAAATAACACTGAAATTAAGCAAAGCACGTAGACGGACACATGGCAGCAGGAGCTAAGTAGCAATCAGGTCACATTGCCGAAGGGGCTACTTTTCGCTGGGGCGTGCCGAGTGCGTTAGATATAGTCGTATAGAGAAGTAACCGCCTTACCAGTTCCGATCTATTGTTGGGAACCATGCAGATAATTCCGAATCCGTCTGCCTGGCTGGCGTGGTGACAACTTGCCGCTAAGTGGTTGACGAATTCCTAACTTTTGAACCCATCTTTGGAATTTAGGGGGTAATGATATTTGTCCTTGTGACATGCACCTAATCGTTAGACCAGTAGGGTTGGCGAACACTTGTTAACATAAGTAGACAGCAACTGGTGAATCGTGGACCGATGGCTCTTCCTTTAGCTTAGTGAACACTGGGTGCTCTGTGATGAAAGCTTCGGACTAAAAGTCTCACTCATATTTTGAACCGATGTGTGATGGATTCATTAACCACGTCCTTTTTGAACGGAAGTTGGGTGCATAATAGCCTCTTGTCGTCTGTGAGGACCTCAGTCGTGGTAAAGACCTGTCCCACTTTTAGCAAGTCCAAAACGAAGCTGGTTTCGTCGCAGAAAAAGTACTTTTGTGGGATTCCGTTTGGTTTTCAGGAACGTATTCAGTAAATGAATACGATATAATCGCATCCATCACGGCTAAGCATATGGGCTGAAGCGTTTTGACTAAACTTAGACCAAGCGATTCTAAATCTGATCCCAAAATAGCTCATTTGTTACGGGGCGAACTTACTGACAGAAACGCCTAAAGGACATCTCAGCTACTCCTGTCCAGGCTTGGGTGACCCAACAGTATAGCACCCTTTATGCTTCCATCAGGTGGCATGACAGGTAGGCACCTAACGGGCGTTAAAGCTCGGCGATTACTTCTTTGATTTCCTCAGCTTAGACCAAGAGGTGCTTGAACTTTACAGAATAGAATGGAGGATATAACGAGGAGTCTGTGTGCCGTGGGAGTGAATCATCCAGGAAGTAGTTCATATGATGGGTCAGATGCGCTGCATTTTATGGTCAAAAGCCTTTGTCTTCCCGGTCACTACAGGGTTGTTTGAGTACAGCTTGGCGTACTTCCGGTATTCGTAATAAGCTAGCGTCCGTCATCATCCTCTTCATATTTTGCATTGCTTTACGAAGCAAGGCCCCCTTCTGATAGACTTCTGTGGTTGTGAAGCCTTGATGTTCAAGCTGTTGCTGTTCTCAGTAGTGAAAATTTGGTTTCCAAAGTTAGCATTCTTGTCTAATCTGACGAACTACAAGGATCACTGGAAATCTTCGGACCAAGGTAAGGAGCACTGATAGGATGCGAACTACAGCGCGACTGTACTGTGACTTGGTACGGTGCGATAGCCCCCAGTGGCAGCAATGAATACTGTCGAACAACGCAGGACGGTGGTGTCTAAGGAACACAGTACACACAGAAACTCATAACAAGGTCGAAGGACAAACCAGGTCGAAGTATGAATCAGTCGAACAGCCACCTGAAATTAGGAAAACCGATCTACTAGGATAGCTAGCAGATGTTCATTTAAGGGTGGTCTGGAAGAACAAACAAAAGGAAATATATTACAGCCGTTCAGTAGTTACTTTGCCGTATTTAAGGCTTCTGACAGTCACACATGCTTACAAAGCACAGTCAAA